ATGACGCAAACTTCTAAGGCGCAAACTTATGATTCGTTGGTTTTTATTTCTAAGCTAATTTTAATAAGTTTGTTAAAATTTCGTAAACAAACCTTACATAGAGTGTTTCTATAGTTAAAAAGAAAATGGTGAAAAAAAAATTACACACGTATTTTGGTGTGAAAATGTCAAAGCCCAGGAGAAATGACCCTCAACGGAAAGGAGGTGCGGATAAAGAAAAAGAAAAAATAGCCCTGCAAATCTACAAAAGCCACAATTTCTGATATTTGCAATTCTATGATTTTTTTTCTTTATCTCAGAGGTTTAACAATTCCATTTTTTTTTTATAAAAAGAGTCGCGTGTAACAGGAGCGACTCACCCGATTCTTTTTTAAAACATCAATTTTATCTTTTCCGCCATCCCCTCGAGGAAGAAATAATCTAGAATAAAAAAATATAATAAAGAGTAAATTCCTCAAAAACTTCGGCTTGTATTTGGAATAATAATCACAGAGGGACAAAATAATACAAACCTTCTTTTCTTCCTTACATGTATGCCCCTATAGTGCTTGATCTACTTCCTCAAGTTTCTAACCTAATAAGCCTTTTCAAAATTCCACTTCTGCTTTTAGAAGGGATTTTTTTTCTCAGGGGTGGGAGATATTATATAAATTTTATGCAGTACGAACCGGAAAAGGGGGTTTGAGGGGGAAGAGAACAACTTCTTCATTTTATGTATTTTTTTTCTTTTCAGAAGAGGGTTTGTATCCCATATTATACATATTTTTTTGATATGATATAAGAATACATACTGATCGATTATGTTTGTGGGGGAGAGTTGTATATGATTATTAAGTTGGAAACTATAGCCCAAAGGTAGTTTATTTCGTTGATTTTTGTTTTGTTTTAAATGTCTTTGTTTAGTATTGTATAAAATCAAAAGGCATGTTTTGGGATATAAAAATGAAGTTGTTCGTTCGTAATGTCTGTATCACGTAATTGTATTTAGTTTTTAATGGTAAATAAATTTTAGAGCTTTTTTGCGTTTAAGGGAATACTTTGTTTTATACTTTGCCGTAGGCTAGAGGATATTAGTAAAAATATATTTCACTTAGAAATCTATCTTCTAGAAATTGCACAAATAATAACACGGCTTAATTTTTTCTCTTCAATTTAAATGAAGTGTTTCTCAAGTAACATTTCAGAGCAGTATTGCTTCAGTTAAGGAATGCAGAGTGTTCCGCAATAACTGCCCTCTGTATATATTCATAGAATGCATGACAAAAATGTTGTGCATATAAGAGCTTTCAAATTAATATTTGACAGCAAAATGTTATTGAAATCTAACGAATAACGAATTGGTAAGAAATAGTTATACTTCATTAATGATTCTACTTAGTTTCATTAATCCACATTTTTAATAATTTTACTAATTAGAGTTTTATTTCAAACTAGTGGGCTGTGCCCCCTGCTTGCTAACGCTCGCCAACCCCCCAAAATTGCTACGCAATCTTATATGTTTTGCTTCGCAAACCAAGCTCGCTTCGCTCGCTAACTTAGGTATATTGCAAATGCACAAAATTTTAAGAATTCAAAACAATCATTCAAATCCATATAACAACTTTTTTTTTTAAAAAAAATTACATATTTTTGGTAAATACTTAATATTTTATATAATTATTTTAATAAAGTCATTAAAGTAAATTTGAATTCAAATAAATGACATGTAATTCGTTAAACCTATTAGAAATGTACTATAGTATAAAATCTTAAGATAAAATTTCTAAAACTAATATCTCTTTAAAAAGGTTAAAATTTTGGCTATAATTAAGTCTATTAAAAATTGAAATAAGTGAATTGCAATGGAAAAACCTGCATAAACAAAACATTGAACATCTCATTTGGTGAGAATGCTCTCTCTTGTCAAAAAATACAAAATAAACTGACCTCAAATAAAACTCCAAGGACTTCGAATCAAATAATTAAGGAAACTACTATCACGTTTAATATAAAAGGAATATTTATTAACTAAACAATAAAATTACAGCATCGCAGTTTCAAAAAACAAATCTCACACTCACTCAAAAAAACAATTTACATTCTAATTAGTCACCATAGCAACCACAAAACTCTTCTCGTTACCATCTATGAAATGATATATAATAAATAAATTATTTAACAAAAAATACGATGCGCATAAGCACATAATATTTTACACTCTGGTTATTTCAGTTTCCGTTTTTATAAGCGCTATATGTTGAGCCACCTAATCTCGATTTAGCATGTGACATTTTTAGCGGCAATCATTGGTTAATTTTCTAGCGTTGCCATTCGGGGAGTTGTAATGAGGCTTCTTTTTATCGCCGTGTAAGAGAAATATATATATAGATGTGGTATTTTGCGTTTCACAAAGTCAAGCAACATTTTGCTCCATGATCTCATACTCTTAAAAATCTTTCCAGTAAAATAATCGTGGTACTTTATAATTTATACAAGATTAATTTCATTAATAAAATTTTCATTTATTTTTAACTATAATAACTTTATCAGATATTTATTAACTTTATTAGTTTATTATTATAACTTTATTAGAGTTTTGCGTTTTTCAGAGTGATTAAGATCAGCGAAATCATCCCTCTATGGTTCCACTCTCTTGAAATCACCCGGAAAAAATAAAAAGGACATTTTATTATTAATTATACCTAATGTTATTAATCTATATTTCTTATTGACTTTGCCTGTTGCAGTTTGAATAATAATAAGCTATTTGGTTTCTATTAGAGTTTGGCGTTTTATAGTTTCATTCCAATTATTATTAAACTCTTCTTCCGTGTATGCAAACTCTTAAAATCTTTCAAGCAAAAATAATCAAGACACTATTTTTTATTCATTTTGCTTAGTTTTAATAATCACTAGCTGAAAATCTGTACTTCGCATGGGGTGAATAAAAAAAAGAAAAGAATCAATAAATCAGTACTGAGAAACACTACGCAATCACGCTTAAAACTGAAAAGCATATACCGTCACAATTAAAGAGTTTAATGGAAGAACCAGGTGAGTGACATTTTTAGGGGAATTAATGAATTAGAGAAATTAGCATAAAGGGTTTGCGTCAATATGGATATGTTTAATGTAAGAGAACTGTTTTTGCTTTCACTTTTATCTTAACTAATTCATATTAGTTTCCAGTATGCTTGCATGATTTTTAATTCTAATTAGGCAGTGGTAAATAAAATAAAGCAAAGAAGTATTTGTAATATTAACCCTCTAATAAATTGGTAATGAAAAAATTTGGATACAACTTCTTTTTTCGTTCGGAAAATGACACTTACCTGGCTCTTCCACTAAGTTTTTCCATTAATATAGCTAAAATAATTTCAATTTGTTTTGTTAAATGTTATATGTTGTAATCTTTGGTGGCTTTACGTAATTGGAGTAAGCAAAGATCGTTGCTTGTAATTCATACCATTGGAATAAAGATAAAATGCATTTTACATCACTTGGCATTACTCGCTGCTAATTCATGATAGTTAAAATTTACCACTATTAGGTGATTTTCTCAGGTACATATCCTTTATGAGGGGGCACAAAACGCTTGATTCCAAAGTATCGGTATTAAAACTGCTTAGTAGTGGTGCAGTTTTTATAATTACTAAATATATCAATATAATATTGTATACCTATCTCAGTATATTTGGCACTTATTGCATAACCCTCAACATTTGAGTTAATACATATTTGTCAGTGCCAGCAAACTAAAGCCGAATTTTTTTTTAAAGGGAAATATTAAAACTTCATAAGGTTTCTGGAGCATGACCACTTCTCTATCTGACCTTCAGTTTACTGTTAAATTATTTATAAGTAGTGGTGGAAAAAGTTCTTTTAATTCTAATTCATTAAAATATTAATACGCTATCTTAGCTACCTGCTGGAAAAAAATATTTTCTGAAAGTACGGAAAACCCGTTGTAAAATTCTTATTAAAAGCAGTTTGAAAATTACCATAATACCAGTCCTATATATTACCGTCAGAGCTACACATGAATTAAGCGTTATCTGTGAATGGCGTTTTTTGTTACAGTTTTCTTAAACGAATATCCCATTAATCTTTCATGAACTTGGATTTTTAGCACATAGCTTACATTATTTTATTTCAATTAATACATATTATCAATATTAATTGAGCATTAGAGTCAATAATAGTATGCAGATTTTTTACGATTACCCAAAACACGAATAAGTATCTTTTCTTCTTATTTTTGCTTCTTAGTTCAGAAGTTACCTTTCTTTATTTCAATTAATACATATTACCAACATTAATTAAGCATCATTGTCGTCAATGGTAGTATGACGATTTCTTACGGTTCTTCTATAAAAATAAATACCTTTACTCCATTACTTTTGCGTTCGACTCGTAGTATATAGCTTATTTCCGTTATTTCAATATGCATATATTACCTTAATTAATTAATCATCACTGGCGTCAATTTTCTAAGTTTCTCCTAATCAAACTAGTACCACTTTCTCATTAATTTAGCTTCTGAATGCTTAAATATTTCTTTTTTCTATTTCATTACCATTGGTTTTAAATAAGTAATTTTTTAGATACACGTTTAGAAAAATTAATATAAATAAAATGAAAGCACGTGGTATCAGACAAAGGATAAATTTGTTGAAGCAGACCAAGCATGTTACCAAGTAATTTTCATTGAATTTATCTGATATGGCGCATATAAAATAATTAAATCATTAAATATGTGCAATAATTTACTTTTTGATCAAAAAGAGCTGCAAGCGATCAATCATCACTTATATTATTTTTAAAATATGCGAAAAATTGAGTCGTTAAATTTACGACAATGGCTAACGCGTAACCAATCAGAAAATTCCATTTCGTTTCTCACTCATCCTGCTCGAATGGTTTGTCGTACAATGTTCTAATGTCAACAGTGACCTTTCTCGTGATTTGAGCTTAGCTTTCGGTCTGATGGTTTAGGAGTCTATAAAGGACACACACATTCATCCACAGATATTCATTTTTATGTATATAGATTAATACAATTACAGTTTTATTTCATATGTGCTATATCGTTTTCTGTTAGAACTTTGTGTCTTCCATGTGCAAAAGATTAGCAAATTCTTCTTCTGTGGTTTCTGGGTCATAACGAAAATTTAAACTTTGCATCAGCCTCGTGACGTCGTCGTCATCGGTGAAACAAATGCTGTCCCATGGTCCTGCTTCTCTAATAAAATGCAAACATAATTCTCGAGCTGCCTCTCCACATTCCTTAGAAATCTGTTCAGCAATACAGCTTGACATTTCAATAGTATAGCTATGTAATGTACAATATACAATACAGTATTATGCATTTATACAATATAGTACACAATAAATACCATATAGTTTTATATTTTCTTTTTAAGAAATTGATGTAATAAAACAAATTATAAAATAATTTTTTTTGCAACTTAATTACTTTGTTTTGATCAATCGATAATTTAGAAAATAATCTTTATAGTAATAGAAGGGAAATTTGCTTGTTTATTTCTGTAGAAATATTTAACTTGGTCAATACAAGTAATGAAAGCAAATGCGAAAATTGAAGCTAAAATTGGAAAAACATAATGAACTAAAATAATAATTCGAAAAGCTATTTTTTTCCATAAAGGAGAAAACAGTTTAAATTTTTTTTATTCAGAACAAAAACGAAAGATTTGCGATGAGACGAAAAGACGTTGGTGGAACGATTGATGATGATTTTTGATTGATTTATTTTGAAAGTGATGCAACCTACCTCTTTTGTTTGAAAGACGCGAGAAAATTTTTCTGTGGTGATAGATTCTTATAACAAAACTGTTTTTTTTTGCTTCAAGTCTGGCAAAAATAAAATTACCTTCTTCTATTTTTTTAGCCATTCTAATTTTTATTCTGTATGTTGCAGCCAGGAAATGCTGGAAACTTCCTTTGTGATCACGTACGGAGTTCTCTCAGATATTTCTGTGTTCTAGCTAGTCAGAAAGTGGTCGAAATTTCAATTGCAAGATTGCGTCTGTCCTTGCATTACAGACAGGAAAGGGAGTTAACAGACAGGAAAGGGAGTTAATCTTCAGTAAGAAATAAGACATTAGTCACGTTGTATACATTTAAGCTGGAACTGTTTAATTAACTGTAAGACAGGTTGGCGAAAAAGTTTTGTCACAAGTAAGTGGCGTATGTGATTTACATCCAGTATTTATACACTCACATGATGGAGATTCGTTTTATAATAAAAATAAAATACGAGATTTATAAAAAAATATTTTTATTAACAATCTACCGTTAATAAATGTTATCGAAAAGTGCCACCATTGGTTCCAAACACTGAATAAGCTGCCGATTCAAAATTTGGATTAGTAAATAAAGATAAATTATGATGGCACAAAATACTTACTAGCACTTTTGTTTATTTCGATCACTGCCATCAAAGTTCAAATAAGCTGGATCTATGTAACTTCGTATCTTCTTGAAACACTCGGCAGTGAAATTCTTCGGTAAATTGTTTATAACGTTTTGATAGCAATTGCCATATTTTACAACTCCTTAAAAGAAGAAAAAATTGCAATTTCTTTTAAAGACTCATAACAAAATTGTAAGTAATTTTAGAATATTTTCTCAATAAACACAACTTTTTTTTGTTAAAAAATATTGTCAGCTTGTATTGAAAACGGAGATAGTGGTCAATACTCTCAGGCTATGTGAAAGCAGCAGTACTAAATAAGTAGAACTCAAAGTAGAACTTTACCTCGAAGTGGAACTTTAATTTTAATTTAGATATACTATCTTTCTTGAATATCTATAAATAGTTCGCAATTTTTAAAAATTTTTATGATTCCACAGAATGCAGCATTGGAGTTAGTTTTCAAGTATCAAAATATTAAATTACAAGCGTTTGATTTCTACAAAGCTGTGGATTTTCTTAGAAATGACGTTTTACGCCTATATCACAGTTAGCATTGTTAACTAAAAATGGAATATACTCAATTTATACTTTTTGTAAATAAAGTAGGAATTTCAAGGTTTCACTATTTTCCAAACTCCTCACCATTATCATGGGAATGGTTATCATGGTCATAAAGGCATCATTAATTTTCTCTCAGGCACTGACATTTAAAAAATGAATTATTATTGATTAGTTAATATTGAAAATATAAATTAATACAAAGATTATAATGTTAATATATTACGATTATAATAATATTCTCTCGTTTCTGAACGTCGAGCTTTTGCCCTGTTTGTGGCTTTGATCCAATTACAACCTACCTTCTATTTTATAAACAGTAAAGCGTAGATTATCCGGACCAATCGGGATCAGATCAGATCCGGAAAATCTGGATAATTTACAAATTTTGAAAAAGAACAGTTACGAGAAAGTTTTCAAATAACTTCCCTTCAAACTTTCTTAAGGCTTAGGATTGGCAATTGTTATAATGTCTATTATAGCATATTATACACGTTGTGTTTAAAAATTCTAATTTTTAAAATTTATATAGAAGCTGACCCCACCCACATTGAAACTTAGCAGAAGGAACGTGAGCTCTTTTTAAGGTTACCGAGAAGTCCATATTTAGGTATTCTGAAAAAAAAAAAAAAACATTTTCTCATTTTTGTTTTGTTTTTTACAAGAATGGAAGGTCGGAATACGATCCGTAGTTGGACAGTTTGGTAAATCGGCGCTCGGATAATCGATGTTTCACTGTATTTGATTCCGTGCGTTTCGTTCTTTTATTCAAGGATGTAAAGTCGTTAGTTGAAATATTTTACTCCGACTAAAACTCTGAAGTTTTCTTAGAGCTAAATTCTTACCTTGATTTATATTCAATAAGACTTTTTAAAAACTTCTTAGGAAAGTATTAATATTATTAGTAAATCAGTGTTCTATACAAATGATATATATTTTTCCTTTTATAAACGGCATCATATTCTACATATTGTGGCAACCTCCTATATTTCGAGAAACAGGAATCTTGCATGAATTCATAACTAAAAATATCGTCTACACTATTTAAAAAGCATATTTGAGGTTACCCCTTCGAACCATTATAATTAAGTCCTGGTACGTGAAAATCTGATAATTAGATCAAAAGTTATTATGGTAATTCGTGTTTCTGGCACACTGTGCATAAGCATCGTATTTTAAGATTATTCTTTGGCGAATATTCAAGAAATAGGAAACAATTACTTATGATTTCGTAAATTCATCTGAGTATCTATTTAATTAGTTTTTCTGTTTAGATAAATAAATTTGGTTTTACTATTTAGGAATCAAACGATAACCTATTAATATTTTTCTAAATAGTTAATAGATTTTTCTTAATAGATTTTCCTCTGAATATATTTTTTACCAATCAAATGCAGGCTCAAAAACGTTTAAGTAGGGCGAATTAAGTTTGTGATCTCTTATAATTTAAATAATCGTCGTAATACTCATTTGAGTAATTTTTTTCCATTTAATTATTAATACTCGCCTTACTCACATTTATAAGATCATCTTCCTAGAAAAATTATAAGATCGCATTTTTCTTTACTTTTTATTTTAATTTATAAGACCCATCATTTAATCAATCTTCTTTGAATCGAGCAAATTTTTCTAACACTGACTCCTGCAAATATTTCTTCAACTCCGACTCCACAGCCCTGATTTTGTTCTAGTCGTGGTGTTTGAATTGCGCATAATTTTTTCACACAATTATTTACAGATTCTAATTATGTGACTTCAACACTAATGTACTAAGTGCACAAATATAAACTTTGGTCATGAAACACTTTGTAACATTTTAGGAAATTGTCTTCTTAGACAAAACTGTTGTTCCAATCATAGGGAAAAATTAGATATTTCTGAGGACAAAAATAGAATTGAATGATATTATACTTAGTTTCTCCTGGTCTCATTGAGCAGTGGCCCATTGACAAAAATTCCCTTAAACACCCATATGTTTCGATCGAAAATCTTCGGAACATTCCTTTTTAGTAATCAACTAAATTGAACCAGACAGAGAACTTTGGGAGTTGGAATCATCTTTCGGGTGTAGTCATGGCTTTTCGGCACACGTTTCATTACTAATATTTGGCGTTTAAATACTCCGAAAAGTGTTTAAAAAATATTGTTTGTTAACATACAAATTACAAGTTTTTACCTTTGTACCAAGTAGAATTGCTGTCACAAAATGTATTGACTGCATTTTGAAATTTTTTAACAGTTCTCACACTATAGATTGTAGTATTTGAACAGGCATACTTATAATTGATTAGACATTCCAACATGGAGTTTAGCGCTCTGGAAATATAAATAAGTACAGTTGATGAAATTGAAAATAATAAATTTGATTGATAATTTTAAAGTTAAAGGGAATAGAGGGTTTCACTAACAAAAATTTCAGTGCTTTTTTTAAATATATGGTGTAATCATATATGGTTAATCTAATTCAGAGCAATCTGACACCAAGTGTAACAAAATACTCAAACAATTCCGAAATTACACCAAAAATACTGAAACGTATTCGCTGAAAGTAAAAAAAACAACATACATATTTTCTAAATTGGAACTGTTTCCAAACTCAAGTAATTTGTTTTAAGTTATTTATTCAAAGATTTGTTTTTGAAACTGTTTTTCTGAATACAATTTTTTTTTATTTTGTGAATAACGTTTCTCGTTTTGTACTAAGCTTATTTAGTTAAAAATTAGTATCTGATTTGAGTGCAGCATGTTGCTTAAATTCATACTAAAACTTGAGTATTGTAAATATTTTTCATTTTTTGGTCAAAAAAATTTTTTTTTGTAAAAATCCCATCAATTGAGCTTTTTTTTTGAAATTTAAAAGTGTGTTTTTTTTTTCAAATTCTTTGCACTTGTATGGTTTTTAAAAAGAGTATGTGTGGCTGTCTATTAAAAGTAGTTTCAAGTTATTTACGTGATTTTTATGATTTTTAATACGCTTGCAAGACGCCATATTATCTTTCTTTTCTTCGAATGTTAGCTCGAAAGAAAATTAAATTAAAAAAGTTCTTTGCATTATTTCACAAAAGAGTTTGCATCAAAACGGTCAAATAGTTTGTGAGAATAAAATTCAAGGAATAAATGTTTTATTTCATTATTCACAAACTATTTCACCAATTTTATTAAAATTTTGTTTCTTGTAATTTGAAAATACTCAGATTAAATTGCTGTAAATGTCCTGTGCCATGCAGTTCCAAATATTTTCAACTATACTTAATCAAAGTCGACAAAAATCATAATTTTTTTTAAAAGAAAGCTTAAAAAATCGAATTTATTTGATTTAAATCTGACTTTCTTAAAAAATTTAGTCAGAATTTTTCATTTTTTTTTACATTTATGAACCAAAACATCAGATAAAATGTATTAATAATACTTTATGCCATTTAAAAACAATATTTCAGCTGAAACAGTTAAAATTTTTTAGTAAAATAGTGAAAATTATTAGTTAATTATTAAAAAATAATCATGGAATATATAAAATAATAGCTTAATTTTTCAAGCTCAAATGAATGTAAAAGATTGGAAGACTATTTCTCAATTAGATATCTAATGAAAAGTAAATTAGTTTAGATTAAAAACAAAACTGAAGAAAATGTTTTAAATTACTCTGGTTGATATTCTTAAACTACATATTTAATAAATTTTAAAAGCACCAAAATTAAATAAACATGCAACTAAATGGGTATAATTATAAATTTTTTTTGAGAGCAAAATATTTTGCATACAATTAATGGAAAATTATAACTTAAAAGCTTCATGACACTCTTACGTCCACGTTTCACGCTTGGTCTTCTTTTTGATTCCTCCCAGTTTATTTTGAAATATAATTTATATGCAAATACTTTCCATTATTTCTTAATAAGAAACCTTTTTATGAAATAAGACTTTAAATAAAATCACACCCTAATAATGAACTTTTTTAATTAAATTGTATAAATTTTTTTTTTACTGAAACAATAACTAAAAAAAATCTTTTCATTTAAATCAATGCGTTTTTTAATGAAATAATTAAAGGAATATGCATGTTAATATTCCCTTATTTCTTAGTAAAAACCCTCGAATTTCATTGCAATCAAACTTTATAAAAATTTATTATAACTATCTAAATATCTAATAATATCTAGAAATCTATAAACTTTATAATAACTGTATTGTACAAGAAATACTTTATACTTAAAAGTTTAAAAAAAAATCAGATAGCTCAAACTGATAGCTTTTTGAAAATTCACAGTTGATCAACGATTATTTTTAAAAATCACAGTGATTTTTTTTTCATCTCAGTTTTAATCATGATTTAAATCAAGTGATATAGATTAATCCAACCCTGTTTTTAAATAAAATAATGAAAAATTGTAAGCAAATATTACAAATTATTTATTATACCAAATTATATTACTTTTAGATAACAAATTTTTACCGATAAATTACCAAAAATTATCGATAAGTTCTGATTTTTTTTGATTAATTGATTTTGGTAATTGGTACTATGAAGACAAGTTTGCTGTCGACCGGAGTGTGTAGGGGTCAGAGAACTGCCCTTGCATCAGAAGGGTTCTGGGTTTGAATCCCGGGCAAGACACGGATGTCCTTTCAATCTCTACACTACCTGTCTTTGCTGTGGGAGCAACGTTGGCCTACCTAATAGGATTCCCTTGGAAAAGTGACAAACAAATCTGTTCTATTGACACCTTAATGACGAGTGTCAATCGAGTGGGTATTGGAAAAAAGCCATCCAATCAGATGGAACTGAAAACTGCAGTTCATAGGATTTGGTGATAAACTCCTCCTAACGTCTCATAGAATCTATGCCAAGAATTCGAGCTGTATTACGGACTAAAGGTGGTCCAACAGTCTTTGTGTTTAACGCCGTTGATTGTAATTTAAAATAATAATAATAGTAATAATGAAGGTTGTGATGCAAATTGATATCTTTCCTGAAGTATCTTACGAGCATTTTGGCAACATCTCATAGAATCTATGGCAAAAATTCGAGCAGTATTACGGGCTAAAGGTGGTTCAACAGGCTTTGTGTTTAATGCCGTTGAGTTGAATTTGAACTAATAATAATGATAATAATAATGAAGGTTGTGATGCAAATTGATATCTTTCCTGAAGAATCTTACGAGCATTTTGGTACCATTTCCTCAGCGGTTTTTGGAAATGCGAATGTTTCTCCATCCTTTGAATATCGGCACTGCCTATAGTGACTTATCTGGCATATGTCTCTTCCTTGGGTAAAGCATACTGAAATAGAATGAAACAAATCAGATTAAAACTGTGCTATGCATTGATAACAGATTTTGAAATGCTATAAAAATATCAGAAAAACAATAGAAATAGAAAAAAAATCTTATGAATTTGTAATTTAAAAAAAATTGAGTTGGTACTTGATGATATATTTTTATCATTATCTTTTGTTTGTGTCGTCTCGAAATTGAGAATACCTTCATGATGCAAATGGCAGAATCGTTAACTCAATTATTTGTCATTTAATTGTTTTTGTTTTATAGACGGCGTTGGATAGGTCACTCATTTTTGGTTTCCCTGTTTAACTATCAATGCTCAACGTCGTAGCTTTGCAGTTTTGAATCTAGCCCAGAAGACAAGGGAACTCCTGTATTAATCATTAGGAAAAACTAACCTTCGAAAAGGCTTTTGAATAGAACTTACTCGAATTTGCCTTATACGGACAGGAAAGTCACGAAAACTTCTCACGGTTACTCTGATGGCAATAATTTTGAGATCCACTCATGCATTGTGAATAATTTATGTTAACATTTGTTGTGGTCGGTGCGGGTCAGATGCATTACTCAGACCGACGAGCTGTCACCGGGATTTGACCACGAGTCGTTTCATTGGAAATCAACCACACTAAGTAACATTGGTTCATAAGTAAAAAAAAAATGTGATTATCGACTATTATACCTCATTTTAAAGCTTCTTAATTGCAAATTATTTCCTTGATTTGGATTGCCTACTCTCTAATTTTTCTAATCACTGATTCATTAACACGCCTCTTCTCTAATATACTTAAATATTAATTTATTAATAGACCTATTCTCTTATTCAGTTAATCATTGATTCACTAAAACTCCTCTTCTCTTGCAACTTTAATATTAATAAACTAATAGGCTGATTTTCTTAATCAAATAACCACTAGTTCACTAATACGCCTATTCTATAAATTACTCAGTAATCACTGATTCTCTAATCACTGATTCACTAACACGCCTCTTCTCTAATATACCTAAATATTAATTTATTAATAGACCTATTCTCTTATTCAGTTAATCATTGATTCACTAAAACTCCTCTTCTCTTGCAACTTTAATATTAATAAACTAAAAGGCTGATTTTCTTAATCAAATAACCACTAGTTCACTAATACGCCTATTCTATAAATTACTCATTCTTGATCCCCTTAAATACTGATGCACTGATAGGCCAATTCAACTATTCGCCTAATCACTAGTTTATTAATATGTAAGTCTACTATACTCACTTCGCTTGAATATAGAGTGACTAATAGGCCTATTCTCTTATTCGTCTAATCACTGATTCATTAATATGCCTTTTCTCTAATTTCCCTCATACCTGATTCATTAATACGCCTATCTTTTAATACACTGATAGTCATATGGGTTGTTTAGCTTCTTTTCTTTTATTCATTAGTTAACATAATAATCATTCATCTTAACTGTTATAAAAGTTACTTATTTTTTAGTAAATAGATAAATATTTATTAAAAACTGTATTTCTTTAAATAAGTTTATTTTGTTTGCAATAAAGCAAACAAAAATGCCACAAATAAGTATTATTTTTTTTTGTCGAATTAAAGAGTTTTATTAAAAAATATTTATTAAAAACTGTATTTCTTTAAATAAGTTTATTTTGTTTGCTATAAAACAAGCAAAAGTGCCATAAATAAGTTTTTTTTTGTCGAATTAAAGAGTTAGTATTTTTTAAGCTACATATTTGCAAATAAAAATATTTTTTCCAGTTATTTTTTAAAAGTATGGACTTAAAAAGACAAAATATAAAAAATTATCTTACCAACATGCAGCATTAATAGAAAGACGCTGAAGTACCACATTTTTAGCTTTAGATATCCAAGTCGTTCTTGTAAAATATTCACAAATGAAATGACTGATACGCGCATTAAACCATCATACAGTAGACCACCACACATTAGACAAACAAATATATACATAGAGACTTCAAGGTGAAAATTAAGCACGTAAAGGAAAATATTAAACAATTGCGTATTTATATTAGTAAAAAGTATTTAAAAAAATATTTATTTGTACATCAAATTTTCCTGAAACTGAATCGGTTTAGGATGTTGATTTGCTTGTCATTTATTGATACAGTACTGGTAAAAATATTTTGATTCTTATTTCTGTTATAATATAGTTAATATATAATAGTTAAAAATTTTTTGGGGGGAGGATTATCTTTCGGTAAGTTTTTAAATTTTGTGCAAAGTCTTTTTTTGTTTTTACTTTATATGGCTACTCTTTTTTGAAATATGGTTGGAAACACAATAGAAATACAATAGTTAGAAACATATTATTCTGTAAAATTATTATTTTAAAGATATTTACTTGCCTATCACATTACTTTTCCTTATACGATATCGAAATCATTATTGGCTTACTGTGTTGATTTACCAGAAGTTTATTTATACAGCAGTAGCAAAAAAAATTAAAAGTTACATTTTTATTTCCTTTTCCGTCACTATAAAACTGTAAATAATTGTAAAAAGTACTTATAAATATTAAGTGTTCACGCTAAATAATAATAATAATTTAACCAAAAAGCATACTTTTAAAAATAATTTCGTAGATTAGGAATAAGTATCTATATAATGAGTGATTGAATAGTTTATTGGATAATTTTTCTGCAAAGTTTCTTTAGTTAAATTACGCTACCTTATAATTAAATTGTTATTCAATTCTGCGTCTTTACTTTGATTTATCGAAATAAATTTAAATAAAAAATTCAAATTAAAAATCATATCCCTTTTTTAAAATATCATATTTAGTTATGCCTTTCAGTTTTCGCTATTCATTAAACAACCATGAAGCGGTAAAAAGTATTACATTTACATTATGTACTTTACTTTATTACTATAAGAGTTGTTTTTTTTGCAATTGCATAGGAACACCACCATCAGATCGAAAATTAAATCTAATTTCACCTTTTTAATCTAGAGAGAATTATGTGACCACAGCCTCGTTATTTATCAAGTAGCTAATTAGTATTTTTGAACATTTATGCTTCATCTTTTGCTTTGAAATGTGTTCTGCTGTTCCCAATTCCTAAATTTTTTATTTAAAGGTTTGTAATTTTAATAAGTTTCAATTATTATTGTAATATTACTTCGGAAATATAATTTGCTTTTCATTTTTAACATAAAATTAACAAAATTATTATATTTTCATTGCTATATTTAATTATTTAAACGTACTATATTATTTTTTCTATTTTTGCTCGCTATATTTAAGACGCCATTTTTTTGGGGGTTAATTTTAGTGTATTTCAAAATTTCAACTATGAATTCAATTTACCTGCGCATAAACACCCCTAAATGAAAACCGCCAAATGTTGAAACAAATTTTATCGAAATACTAATTTTGGTCACGAGACCTTGGATGCTGGCCCACTGTGCAATCCAATAATTAAAATGAAACGAAAAGTACTAAAGCATAATTTCTAGTTAATTAATAACTTTAGAAATTGAGTTTCTAAAGTAGCGCGGAGAAAGTACTTGTATAATAACTTTTAAATTAAAAGAGGTCCCCCAATGCTAAACACTTTACCTGTCTAAAAGTTTAAAACCAAAATGCTGGAAACAGAAAAAATAAATTTTTTAAAACATTAATCAAAAAGTCATTGTTTTTGTTTACTTTCTTTACTAAAGACTAGTATTGTGAAATATTAAGAACAAATTAATATAATACGTTATTTATACTCCTTCTCGCCTTGCATCATTATCATTACACATTATTTATGCATATGAAATTCATAAATAATGGATTACAATATTTTATGCTCTAAAAATTACCCCGGGGAGCAAATTTTTAATTGCATTTATAAAGATTTTTGACACTGCCTATTTTGGGTGAGAGGATTTCAAATCAGAAATTAGTTTTGTCTTAAAGCTACAGATTTCTCAAATGACATTTTGAGTCTATTTTTTGACGAAATGTACAAGTTTAAAAACGTTATATACAATAGGGGGTCTCAAAAAAGTCTTAAAAAAAACTCCTAGGAGAGTTGGGACACATTATCCTGATTAAAATTATACAGATGTTCATTCTCGGAAGCATGCAGTTTTGAGAGGTTAGAGGCGTTTTCTTATTATGACATTTCAGATGCATAAAATGAAAGAAGCATTAAGTGAAAGAGTTCATAATATGGAAGCACCCATAGTGGCGTATGACTACATTTCAGTGCATGGGCTCCTGTGCAATTTTAATAATGAATAATGTGCCCTAACTCTCCTAGAAGTTTGTTGCAACATTTATACTATCCGTTATTACATAGAACGTTTTGAAACCAATAAATTTCGTGAAAATTAGATTGAAAATGCCATTAATAAAAAAACAGTTGCTTGAGCTTGGAAAGAAAAACCGAGAGCATATTTGATATCAGTGATACAAAAGTATCTAAGATCTATTAAAAAATCTCATGCAACTGAAAAAATGATAGTTCTCCAGTGTTATCTATTATGTTTCAGGCAAAATTGTTCAATTATGAGCATAATTTTTATTAAAAAATTTGCGATATGTGTAACATTTTTTAATTCTTGCGATTAGTGCTTTACTGATCTTACTTTATTAGTGACTGCTTAAGTAAATGCATTTATTATCATTGTTAGTTTTTTTTATTTTTAAAAAAAGATACAACTTATAAAAACGTCGCTAAAAGAAACTTTTTTCAAATCTTTTTTATTTTTTCTTTGAAAATGTACAGTGTTTGCAATTATGTGCTGCTTTTATGATAGTAACTTCAATCCATTTCACTCCTTATTTCGCTTTGCAACAGAGCAGCAAATTCTTCTTCTGAAGTTTCTGGATCAAAAGTGAAATTCAAATCTTTCATCAACTTAAAGGCCTCTTTCTGGTAATCTATACAAACAACATTCCATGGTCCAATTTCTCGTATCAGATGCAGTGCTAATTCTTTAGAGGCTTTTCCGCAATCCTTGGATAGCTTTTCAGCTAAGCAACTTGCAACTTCGATAGTGTTACTAAAATACAAGTAAATTGGGCATAACAATTGCTTTTACAAATTAAGAAATAGACATTTGACTTACATAACGATTTGTAACTATTAGAATTAAGTTTTGTAACCAGTCTCCAGTTGCATGGTGACGAAAAAAAAAGAAGAACAAGCTAATAAGTAGATATCAACATATGTATTTTTACATATGTCTATAACATCAACTCTGAAAACATGTCTACATTGTTAGGGGTTTTGAAGTATTTTATCTTACACTGTAAAAAATTCTGGATAAAATTACAGTAAGCATTAGTAGCACACTGAGTGAATCCATTTTTACCATAAAAAGTAAAAATCTGACATATCGTAATTTCTACAATAATAGTATTTGCTATAAAATCACTGAATCACTGTAATTAAAAAATATGACTTTAAAAATTGCGAATGGAATTTTAGGGTAAATTCTTCCCGACGATTTGTGTCAATAAAATGGATCAAGTGGTTGCAAGAAGCATATTATTATCCATCTATTTCTGTAGAAGACGACCGGCGGCTGAGTAGTAGCGTTTCACGCTCCCGTGCCACAGGTCCTGGGTTCGACCCTCGAGCTGGGCAGGGTTGACTCAACCGTTCATCCCTTCAGTGGGTTGATAAGTGAGTGCCAAGCATGCTTAGACCGCCTACCCGGAACATCTGCTGCTGCACCCCAGAGCCCAAGGTCAAGAAAACTGAGATGGGCACAGTAGGCCTTGGCCCTCAAGGGGCTGTCGCGCCACTGAGTTTAGTAGTATTTTTGTAGAAACAAATGGTGTTTTGTTCTGACGATAATTTATTGTTATTTAAATAAACTTATTGTAAAATTTAAAAAATAAAATGGTTTCTAAAATAAGAACATTCAATTTCGATTTTCTCCTTATAGATTACTATTCTTCAATGATAGATATAGAATAACCACCTGAACTCAGCTAACAATGAACGTGTTAACCGATTAGATAAAGAAAATTTAAAAATAAAGGAAATAGGTAAAGATAAATGAATTTTTTTAATGCCAGCCTTAATGATAGTCGTTATTCAGGCAGAAAATATTAGTTGATCACTCTTTCTGGGGCGCCATATTAGGTGGACCAACGTTGCTCCCGCAATAAGGACAGACAGAGAATAAAAGAACATTCATGCTTTGTCTGAGATTCGAACTCAGGACCTTTCTGATGTGGGGTCAGCATCAGATTGTGTTTTTATTAAAAAATAAAAAAAAGTAATTTTTAATTATATCTTCTAACTGTTTTAAACCGAAAAAATTAAAGAAAGAAGTCTAAAAGATTTAGTTTTTTGAAATGAAAAGTTAAGGATTTTATTTATATTTTTTGATCTCGTATTTTACAAAAAAAATGTAAAAAATAAATTTTTTTTTAAAAAAAATTAATTTTTTAATAAAAATCATGTAAATAAAAAATATGTAAATAAAAGTAAAAGTGAAAATAAACGTAATTAAAAATTTCAGTGAATTTTATTTTAAATTTTTGTTAAATAAAAAAAAATTACAGTAATTTTTTAAAAATGATGGTATAATACATTTTTATTACATCATAAAAATATAATACTTACTAGCATCTATTAAGTTCTGGATGATTATTAGGATCATTTAAATATGCCAGCTTCGTGCCCATTTCTATTTTATTTCGGCAATTCTCAGTGAAATCCCTTGGTAACCTTGATTGAAAAATTTCGAAACAGTTTCCGTAGTGTACCACTCCTAAGAACGAAGGTACGTTTCATTTTTTTAAAAAAATTTTTACTCAAGCAAAACACTCATATCAAAACCATATAAAGTAACTTAGAGAATAAGTTTTGTGTTTTCAATTCATAAATATATTGATTTTAATTCCATAGTAGAATTAAGTTTTCAAATTTGGCACAGTACAGCCAAATTCAGCTTTTAGCCCACAAAATGTATATCGATCTGCTGTCGAAATTTTATTATCATTAAAAATGTTGCTGAATTCGAAATTATTTTATGCCACTCAATTTAATAACAATAAATTAATATATAATTGCGTTATATGGAAGGTTATATGCCTCCCTTAATACATATTTTTGTAAAATCTTGTAAGAAATATAGCGAAAAAAGTGTACATAATGCTGGTCAAAAATTAATAACTAAGAGAGAAACAATTGAAATGTTTTTGAAATATAGAGAATCACTTTGGGAGAAGTCGGGGTGTCAAACGTCACAGCCAGATAAATTACCGAATGAAATTTAAAAAGAAATTGTTTTTCACATTTTCTTAAAGTTCTTCTGCAATCAAACAAGTTTAAAATCATCTTCTTGTTTAATAATACGGCGAGATATGAAAGTGTTTCCTTTTTTCTAGCTTTGATAATAGTTTAAGAACCGTAATTTGTATTTGGTTTAACTTAGTTTTTGCAAAAGAGTGAAGATTACGTAATAACCTGAACGTTCTAAGACCTAAATGCTGAAATTTAATTACATGTAGCTTTCTAGCCCCACCCGATTAGGGTATACTAGGACATTAAACTCGGTACCGGATAGTCTTGTAGCGAGGAGAGGTCCGGCAATGGCCGATTAACGTGCTAGGCCATTGTCCGTGCTTTTAGCTCTATTAAAATTACATAAAAACAAATGGAGAATGGCAAAAGCTTACAAATGATTTTAATCAATTAGGAAAATAATGTAAGCCTCTGGAATAACTTTTCAGTCTAATATTTAGAGATGTACTTGGTACTTGGAACCAAGTTGAATCTTTTACCTGACAGGTCAAGGGTACCCGGTTGTTGCTGTTTTTATTTTATTTTGTAACTGTCATTGAATAGCCGACCAATTTTTTTGGGCCTACGACTACTGATGTTCAACTCCTACTAACTACGACTACTAATATTCAACTTTGTTGTTGTCGTATACCTCTTGTCAATACTGACAAGCCTAAGCGGGGAGATGGCGCTTCTTCTTGTTATTCTAGTGGCGCCATCTATGGCTATGAGTTTGACTTCTGCCATACACATGCGCCACAGCCCGTTTTAGACGGAGGGCACATTAACACACCATCCACCCATTCGCAGATCGTAATTTTGACCTGAACCAGAGCACGATCAATCTCCGATCCAGTGCCCCAGAGGTGATGATTTGTTAAAGGAAATCATATGACTTTGTGATCCCGACAGATATAGCGTGCTCCAGTTTCATACTCGGGGAGTCTTCGCCGGTGGGGTGCGAACTCACGACCTCTTGTCCATTGGCCCAACGCACTACCAACCACGCTATCCCGGCTATAGGTTACCCGATAAAATTTGGATTTATTACCTGTGTGGGAAGTATATTATTTATGTAAAATAATATAAAAATGGTAATATTTTATTCGAACAAGTTTTTTTTCTTCACGATATATATTTCTGAGGAATTTTTTTGCGTTCTAAAGTGCATAAAAACATATTTTTATTTTTAGAGATTTTTAAACAGTATTTAAGAAAATGTTTAGAAAAGCAAACTTGTATGACTAATTGGATGTAGAATGCTTTACGTAAAAGTTTGCTGTAAAGAGGAGACATTTGCAAATATAGTAAACTTTATAATTCATTAATTTTTCATTTGATTTGCTTAAATTTGCTATAGCATTTATTAATGTAGGCATCTGTTAAACGTAAGATATTTTAAAACTATTTTAATATAACTGTTTGGTTTATTAAATCAAACAGTTTGTGCATTAAATTAAAATATTTTAACCATCAGAGTATCGCTTTTATTTATCGGATAACTATAAATGTGATTGACGTGCAATGAGATCTGCGTCAATACTTTTTAAATTTTTTTTCTTATAACTGGATGTTGAATAGAAGATTCTAATAGCGGTTTTGCTGTTACTGACGATTTCACCTCCATTTCCAAGTAATTTTGAACCCCCAAAAGATAAAGTAACTTTTGATCAAGCAATTTGGGCAAATTTGCTTTTATGAAACATTTTCTCTGCAAAACTAACGCGTATTTCTGTTACACAGATAATAAAAACTCGAAACCATCTATGATTAACCAAACGGTAAAAGAACTTGAAACCAGACTGGCTGGAAATTGAATTTATTGAGCTAATGAGTTAGAAACAAGCTTTCTAGTTTAGTTTAAGAATACTGAAAAATACTGAAAATTTAGTTTAAAAATACTGATGGCTCATTTTATTCATACATGCTTCTTTTCAATCTAAGCAAAAAAATAAAATAAATTATACTCAATGTGTTTCAAAATTAGTTTTTTTTTGTCAAGTTTATATGACTTGAAGAAAACAAAACATAACTATTTGCGAATATCATAAAAATAACTACTTTCATAAAAATTATTTATCGATTTTCGTTAGCGAACATATTTCTCTTTTCCGAAAATGTCCACATCATCCTGAATTAAGATTCTGCATAAAAGCAAGACCTGTCAAGCCTAAACCATTTCAGCCTGATTATTTGGAACAGCACTTCCAAGACTGGCAGTTGTGAGCCAGAAATATCTTTTAGCTTAAGGCTCTACAATATCGTGATTAACGGTATTATTGTGGAAATATAGTTCTCTTCACGGCGCACATGCCGCCTTCACTTCCCAGACAAGAGATATCCATCTATCTGAAGCTGGATGGGCCATCGCCACTGGGGATCGAGCCCCAGTTCTTCACAGTGACAGTTCAGTATCTAAATTTCTGCGCCATCACGGAAACAGATAAAATATTTTGATTTCCAAGATTTAAATAATGATAAAATATGATATAAATTAATAAATGATGAAATATTTTATTTTTATGTACAGTTTTAAGGTTACTGTATGAATGGTGGTTGTGACTAACATAAATGAGTATTACGCGGCACTGGATAACCGGTAAAGTTGCCCTGATCCAGGTACCAAGTTCTGACAGTAGAAATTGAGTAATGGTGCACAGTGCCGGGTAGTGGAGTTATTTTACCAGATCCGGATGATAACTGGGTAGTAAAAATCTGGTCGAGAACCGGATAATTTCCGGATACTCAGTACATCACTACTAATAATTGTAAATTTAAATTGTTTATAGTAACATTAATTTATTAAGGTTCATTTATTTTTAAAAATATAAAACTATATTTTTCAATATTACCTTTAAACCATACTGAGTCATTATTACAAAATGTTCTGGCAGCTTTCAATACAGATGACGTTAATTCCATAGTTGGCATTTCTGGCGAAGGGCATTTTTCTTGATAATTAACTAAACATTCAGCAAAAGGTATGTAATTTCTAAAGTAGAATAGAAGTAGGTTAATAACTTATGGGGAGGAGTTAATGGTATTGAAAATAATAAGGGAACATATTTTGAAACAACAATGATAAGGAATGTAAAAAAGGTAACCATATATTATGTGTATATGGATGGTGTACCGTATTCACCAACTTTAACATATTGTAGTGCATCTACCACTAAAAAAATATAATTCCAATTCACTAGTATATAAGACATTCTAACTCGGTTCTATGTTGGGGTACCTGTCCATAGATGATGGTTGACATTCTCAATAGCAACACTTCCCACATTGGTGACCCGGACGTTAAATGAACATGCCTACCTTGACAGAAACTCCCATTTCGATATTAACACGCCTATCTTGACAGTAATGACCACTTCCATCTGAAAACGCCTATTTCGATGGTTGGTCCACATTAAACAGTTGACTTGCTGCTTGTGACTGCGACATTATCCACCTCTTTGCGCGGTTGGTACTCAGTCTCGATCACGCACAACGTACAGCGTATACACTTGACTGCTAAAGGCAACACAGGAGCTCCCACGACCGTGAATAGCACTCAGAAAATACAGTGATCTTAATACAGCTCTCCCGGTTTCTCACAAAACAGCAACGAATCAATTAGTGGTATCCGTTCATCGAATTCTATCACAGATATAATTCTGGTGGGGAGTACTGTAGTGTATCTATAACTACAAAAATATGATTCAAATTCAGTAGTATATAAGATGTGTTAACTCGATTCTATGGTGGGTTACCTTTTGATAAATGAACGTTGACATTATCGATAACACTCTCCCCTCAATATGTATATTTTTTAAATTCTTATCAAAAAGGAAGCGAAAAATCACTAAAGTCATGGGCCACAAATTAATATTTAAAAGAGAAAAAAATAATGAAACTTAAACAAAACTTGTTTGATTGCCGATGTGAACCGAGATAAGTTGAAAGGCAATCGTTAGAGCTTCAGCAATCAATCTTCAAGCTTCAGCAGGAAATCGATCTAGTTTTAGTGTTCTTCATTACACTTTCTTTATGATTGATTTCGATAACATTTTTGTTTTATCCTGTATTAAATAATGATTTGTAAGCTCTAAAGTACACGAAGAAGAGTGTTGTCCCTTGGAAAAATTTAGATTAATTACATTATTATTTAGATGTTATTCAGATTTTACAATTTATACTTATATTTTATACTTTATATTCCATTGTTTAAATTTTAGATTTATAGATTTTATTTTCGAATTAAATTGATTAAAAAAATTGTTAAGCAATTAAAAAATAAAAATTTTCTAGCACATGAATTCAAACCAACGCAGCTGATAGCATCTTCTGTTACATGCATATACTTACATATACTGAATGCGAGCTTCTTCCACTGCTTGGTGTATATAAGGTCTAAAGTACTGTTAGGCTATCACGAGATGATTTTCGTACTCACTGACAGCAAAATTACTGAGAACGGCTGATAATTAGTATAATATTTCACAAAGAGAAAAAAAAGTTGGTAAAATTATCACACTGCATGGTAAAGACATTTCTGGTAAACCCACCCCCATAATTCTGGTGTTAAAACCAAAGTATACGAATTTTAAACCATTCATTTGGTAATTTTTCCGTTTATATGGTAAAAATTCATCGAAAATTCTGATTTTAAAAATTCAGTTTTACGACATAAATAAAAAATGCAAAACTAAAAAATTAATTTTACCGAATAAATGGTTCTTTTGCCATGCTCTGAGGTATCATGATAAAATTACCAAATTTTTCTTTCACGTTTACCAAGTGTTATCACATATTATAAAACCATATTTTATTGATAATTTTACCAAAATCATTACTAAAGTATTTAGGTGAAAACTACCGAGCTTTTCGGCGTTCCAATAGTTCCAAAAACACGCTAAATTGTACCATTTTTTGGTAGTTCTGACCGCAATTTTTTCAGTTCATCTTACTTTTTTTTAAAATAATTTTTACAATATTAATTAAGGGTGGTCGTTACAGAACACCCTTTATGGCTCTTTAAATCTATTCGAAAAGTTCAGTAGAAGAAGGTACCAAAAGATATTCTGTGTTCAATGATACGAAAGATGGGGTTTAAAAGCATGTTTTATTCAGCTGTATGTTTTCCTTAAGATTATTAAATATGGCGATAGGAAAATATGTTTTGTTTAGCATCTTATGTTTTTTAAAGGTGATACTCTGAATGCTCAAAAATATCACCGAGAACCTTTTTTCACGAAGCCTTTGAAATGATAGTTATGGTTTACTTACAAGCAAAGCCTCTCCAGAGTTTTGGCTGTTTTCGGAAACATCAACTTTTGATCCTGTTTTGGCAGCTGACATACATCTCTGACAGATGAGTCACATATATTTTCCCCATTTCCAAACCACACTAAAAAAACGAAAATGGATTGTGATAATAAACGCCATTTGCTAAATACACGATTATTCGAAATTATCAATCTTACTTTGACACGCAATAAATCGAAATAAAAAGTCTCCCAAGATTTACGGAAGTTTTGGGTTTTGCCTCCATTTATTTAATAAAATGGTATCCACGAAAGAAAAGAAGACAGCAGAAAAGCTGTATTAGATAGTACTCACGAAAGAAAAGAAGACAGTAGAACTACAAGACACTTTTTAAAAATGGAGCACTACAATAAAAAGGAGAATGCATTTTAATTGAGATGGTCTACCCATATGAATCTATAACGTCGTAGAACCTTTTTATTTTATTTTATTTCAAAGTTTCATGTATATACCAACTAGCTCACAACCATTTGAGAAAAATATTGAGCTTCGTTTCAGATAAATTCAGATATATTTGTGAACAATGGTCAGTGAAAAGCTCGACTAAAGAGTGGGTATGTGTCAGCAGAACTGTGGAAACCATTTGCCATGCATATACCTACACTGAAACTATATTTATTATAGTCTAAGATTGATTTATAATTATGCTGGGTGTTTTATGAATCTGAAATTTTTTTTAAAATTTAAAATATAAATTTTTCATCTAAATTATTTCTTGCGCAAATATTGGTATAAAAAAGCAGATTGGTAAAGAAACGGATTGAAGCAAACATCTCTACTTGATTCTGTAGGGATGATGTTCCATGTAGACTACCATGCTATAAACTTTATAAGTGAATAAAAAGTCGGAACTTTAATTAAAAACTCCTATCTTTTATCAAAATTATTCCTTGTGTAAGTTTTGGCTTAACTTGCATTAAAAAAACTAACAAGAAAGATAATGCGAGAGATAATAATAAAATCATTTTCGTTGTTTGCTCTTTCGGAAACAAGGAAGTGATTTTTCGAATAATCTTTGAACCGGTTCTTCAGGGTTTTAGGACAAATACTTGCAGCTTTATTTGTCGAAGTTTGATATGATTTCCCTATAAAAAATCACAGCTGAATTTGTAAACATTCGCCGACCGAATCGTGTAGTGGTCACGGAGCTGGCCTCACATTAGAAGGACCCTGGGTTCGAATCTCGGACAAGGCATGGAAGTTATTTCATTCTGTACTATCTGTCCTTACTGTGGAAGCAACGTTGGCCCACCTAATATAGTGTACCAACAAATCTGCCCTACTGACATCGTAATGACGAGTGGGCATCGGAAAAAGAATAACCTAAAAATAATCTAAATATCTTAGAGCACTATGCTGGTCAGTTTGGAGCGATCATTTCAATATTTTAATGCCAAATGATTGGTGTTGCCATCTATCAGTCACAAAACTACTCTCAAATTGAATTAAATTGTGTAAAAAAGCACGTATAAGTAATAAAACTTATTTATCTCATATTTTCTTATTAGTATTGCACGTAAAAGTTGAAAATATAGTTTTGAATAATTTGTACATGCACGAACAATTTACTTCAGTGTTTGGTGTCCTTAAAAACTTTCTGTATTGAGTATAGAGTTCAATTCTTACTTTGGCTTTGACGTTGAAGCTTTTGAGTTATAAAAACTTACTGCGCTAATGTTTATTACAAAGCAAATTTTTTCAGAGAAATGGTAACTGTGAAAAAATGATGCATTTCTTAATTTTAGCACAAAATATAAATACTTACCAGCGCATAACAAGAGAAAAGTAGTTAGAAACCACATACTAAGATATAAAAGTAATATCTTTAAATGCAACGTGCATAGAGCAAAATGATTTGGCTGATAAATTTCGTAAGCAATTTAACACACAAGTTGAAATTGTTACAATTTTTCAAGGTCAGAACAATGAGCAGGAAACTGCGATTCATCTGTCACAGTCTATGACAACTCTGTTCCGTTTTTGTCTTCATTTTTTCTGACAAAAGTATAGCTCCACACAAAACTATTCTTTTTTCAATCAATCATATTATTTCTTTGTATACGCAAGATATGTGAAATAATAATAGCCATTAAGTTCGAACAATATAGTCCCTGAACTAAAATTTCAAAACGCACTGTCAGTATCTAGAGTGTAGCAGAGAAAAATGTAACCGACAAATATTTTCATTTCAACAACTTCTTTTTTCTACTGCTGCAGAAAAAAAATGAAAAAATGGAGCTTTTTATCCGTTCTGCCGTTTAGCCAAAGATATTATTATTTTTGTTCACATGATGTCCGAAAGTACACTGTAAACATTTTTACTATATCTTAACCCCATAAACGGAAGCAATTGCTTAACACTAAAATGGTGTTCCACTACACCGATCATCACACCAACCATGATCCATGAGCCTGTTGCACTCCACATGCACGCCAATTGGATGCCAAACAGCGCGAATGTATATCAATATATATACTTTATAAAGGGTGCAATTAAACTTAATATACTTCATGAAGGGAGCAATTAAATTTAATATACTTTAAAGGGTGCAATAATTGAGAATGCTAGCACCAAACTACTGATCATTAACACCATTCACGAATTATTTTCACGATTGGAAATACCCAGGTTAGGATATCGTCAGTGGACTGTTTATAATCGAACACGATCTACAGAACCAAAGTTTGCCATTACAAGATGCATTACTTGTGTACTAAGATTGGTTATATTTGAAGTTTAAATATCTGGCAATTGTATTAAATAATTTTGTAATGACTTTGTATCCACCCTCTTCAGTTTTGTTAAGTTATCTAAATTCGTATTCATAATCTCTTTGTACTATGTGTTGTTTTGATTAACAAACTAATTTTATTTTTAGAACTATACTCCGTTACAAGTTAAAAAAACATTGCGATAGAGGATTTAAGTATTTAAGTAATACTCCGCAACTGCATATAGTTCCGTTTTATTTCGTTATCACTTTTAAAACATTATAAATGCTTTTAAAAGTTAAACACGTAAGACAGAAATTTAATTCGTGTCCTCTCTTACAATATATATCATAGAATTAATAAAAAAGGTTATAGCTTCGTAGTCCTACTGGAATCCAAGATTCGGCAGCATATTTTGGTAAACAAGAAGAACGTTCGTTATTGAAAAAGAAACAACTATATGACGTTGTAAGAGCATTGGATTTGATCTGATCACTAAAAATGGCACGTCTTAGCATGACATGCTCTAAACAAATCAAATGCGAGATAAATAATTTTTGCTTTTGTTTCTCTGTAGAAAAAAATCGTCTGCAAAGAAACAATATTTATTATTATTTCATCAGTTTATTTAAATGCGAACAGGAAGAAGTGTATTTGTTACGATTTTTAAATAAACTTTTTATTAATTCTTATTTCGTGTTAATCGATTTTTGCTGTTAATCAGAAAGCTAGCAAACAGGAGGCTGTACAACATCGTTTGAAGTGTAGGCGATGCGCTGGGAGTTTGGCATCCGTTTGGCTTGCACTTAGATGCAAACAGGCTTTCTCTTAAGGCAGTGTTTCTTAACCTTTTTGATACAATGGACCCCTTTTAAAAATTTTTAAGAAGTCACGGACCACCCCTCTGAGTAAAAAAATTGCAAAAAACATCAATTTTCAGTATTTAATTTATTTTAGCATTTAATTTTATTATTTCAATAGTATACAAAATATTTAAAATTAAAATTTTTAGTCTGAAGGTTGTTGCTGCTTTTCCTTAATTAATAAATTGAATAGAGGGATGGTTTTCGACAAAGCAACGAGCATAACATGTTTAACATTCAATCGATAACGATGTTATGTTTTTATTGTCACAACTGTGGAAAGTCCGGCTTCGTTAAGATACACTGTAGCTAACGGAATTATAGCTGAAATAGCTCGCTTTACAAGCAATGGGTAGGCTTCTTTCACAGAAGACCAGAACTCTCCGAGTGTTTTTGAATCGAAATCCATTTTTAGCAAGGACTTTGTTCTAAGATCAATAAGCTCATCTTTGGCAAGGTTCATATCATCGATACAGTCAATATCACAAAGAAAAGGATGACGAATCCACAACTCATCTTTTATCTTTATCTCATCCAAATTAAAATATTTTTTCAATGAAACTTGAAGTACTTCCAGGTGTTCACAGATTTTATTTTTTAAGTTATTCAGTAACAAATTATCTTGCCAAGATCCATTTTCAGAAAGCACTTCGTCCAACATTTAAAAGTTTGCATATATCTCATTTTGAATTCTATTTTTTTCAAAGTGGCATCTTCAATTAGAATGCTTGTAATTTCTCAGTTGCATCCATAATGGTGATATCGGGTCCTTGAATTAAAAGACTTATATTGTTCATGTGGTTAAAATTATCTGCCAGGTAAGCCAATTTATAGGTAAAATCTTTTTTGTTTAAATATTCGAAGAATGAGTTATCTTTTTCTTCTAGAACAAGTGATAATTCGATCTTCAACATGAAAAATTGTTTCAAAACCTGCCCTCGTGACAGCCAGCGCAATTCCGTGTGGTACAGAAGTACCTCATGTTCTGCGTCCATTTCTTGACACAGCGTTTTAAAGAGACGATGATTAAGAGCTCTACGTCTAATAAAATTTACAGTTTTAATAACTTTTGATAATGCTTCTTTTAAGCTGGTTGGAAGAGTTTTTGTAGCCAGCGCATGTTTATGTAAAAAACAATGAGTAACAAGAACATTAGGAGACTTTTTTTTTACCAACAGGGCAAAACCAGATTTATTGCCAAGCATCACAGGTGCTCCATCTGTACGAAGTGAATGAAGTTTTTCTTTCCAGCCGAAGTCTTGTTTGGTAAAGAAAACATTTAACATTGCTAAAACATCAACTGCCTTTGTAGTTTGCAAAAGAGACTCACAAAATAAAAATTCTTCTTTGATAGTATCAAGAGACACGTAACGAACAAAAACAAGAAGTTGACTATAATTCGAGATATCTGTAGTTTCATCCAGTTGCATACTAAAGGGAAATGGCGATACTTTCAATTCATCGATGATCTTTTTCAAGATATTGCAAGAAATTTCAACTGTTCTTGAATGTGTCACATCATTTGAAAATGGAATTGCCTCAAGTTTTTTTTCTCTGTTCCAATCTACAAACTAATTCAACCATCTCCAGCGCACATGGCTTAATTAACGTCTCTCCAATAGTATGCGGTTTCTTGCTTTTAGCAATATGATATGCAACTTTGAGAGATGCCTCAACCAGAGGTTTTTGTGGAATACCAAATCCAAGTTTGTCTAATGTTCCAGATTTCAAAAACTGGGCTTTCTTCTTAGTAAAAAATTCTAGATCTAGTAACCTGAACAAGGTGTCAAATGTACGTAGCTTGATAGGGGATAATAAAAATAGTACAGCGGACGTCATCAGGGGGTTGCCCCTGATGGTGCAAACTGAAAGCCGGTTAGTGGAGGATGTTAAAAATATGACAGGGATATTAGAGGGCTGTGTGCAGTCCGTACTGAATTTGGGGTATCACCTAGTTTCAAATATGTATGTATTTTCACCTTTTAGAAAGAAAAAAAGATCAATGTTATTTAAATATTATTGATCCAAACGTTTTAAAAATTAGGAGCAGTCGGTGGATCCCCAAAATATGACCCATGGACCCCTAAGGGGTCCATGAACCACAGGTTAAGAAACCCTGTCTTAAGGAATAATGGTTTTTTCTTAACTCGCAACAAAGTATAGTACATAAATGCATCCTAAATGAATGACTAGTGATTGCCTTGTAAAAGCAACTTCATTGATTCTTATGTGTATCATACCTTATTATAATTAATAAATTTTAATATTACTAAGTAACAATAACAAAAATGATGAGAATTACTGTACACCAAGTAGTGTAAAAGGAATATACTGAGTGTTTCACAACATTAAGAACTATTCTTTGTTCTTGGTGTAATAAAACGCTAGATCTAAGAGTTATCTGTGTTGTTTCTCTGCACTACTTTGGTGTAAAGTAGTTGCCTCCATATTTGGTGTTAGAATACACTAAAAGTTTTTATAGTGTAGGTTTTAAAACATAAAATTTGGAGAGATGTTACACAGCAGTTTTTACATTGTAGACGACCCGTGTTTTATTTTTATGAAAATACTTAAAAGCATATATCAATTTTAATTTGATTTTATTTATAACATATCAAATGAATTTGTCTATTCCCGTTTGTTCTCTCTAGTTTTTCTTAAATCTTGCTTTTTCATCTCATTAGCTTCTTTTAACAAAGAATCGCCTATTTTCCTTCTTTTAACAAAGAATCTCTTATTTTGCTTCTTTTCTTTGATTGTAAGTTGAATTCGCTAAATTTGCTTCTCATCTTATTCATTATATTTAAATATTATTTCGGGCTTTGCTTCGGAATGGAAGATAATTTCTTAATAAGTTACTGAAGTCGAAGGGATATTTTTATGCCTTACATCAGTTTATTTTTTTATGAATGTAATTTATAAATAAAATGCATAGCAAATTGCACTATAAATTGCAATATAAATTGCGACCTTGACTGTTCAAGATGATACCCTAAGATATAGATAATGTGTCTGTTAAGAATTCCGGATCAAATTACGAAATAAAGTACCGGCAACTTGGGTGCATTATCCGTAAAATCCATTTTACATTAAAATCAATTTTGATCGTAAAATATTATAGGGTAATTTTTACATTAATAGTTATTTAATAAGAGTGATTCAGTAATTTTGCGAACATTATTACTGTACAAATTACAGTTTTTCTTATTTTTTGTTCCGGTGAAAATGGATTTTACGGTAAAAAGTATAGTCACATTGGCTTTTTACCGTTATTCAATCTGGAATATTTTTTCAGCTGTATTACTAATATCTAAATAAAAATACGAAGTAAATTTTCAGAAAATAAAAACTCAAACGCATACTCCTGTTCTTCCGAGCTAATGGTAATTTTCCTTAAGCGAATAAGCATTATTAATGCATAAGCATTAAGAGTATTGCGACAATTCAGTAAATAATTCATGTGCGTTCGTCAATTCTTTTCATATTTGAAAATTGATTTTTTATCAAAACAATCATTTTTGTTGTGTTGAAAACATTGTTTTTTTTTAAATTTTTTTTATAGTTTTTTAATAAAAATTTACATTTTTTAAAGAAAAAGACATTTCAAAAACATTTTTAAAAACATTATTTATTGTATTTTTCGAAACAACACTGGCCTCAGCTTAAAGGAAACTAGTAAATTTATTAAAAGCATCTTAAGATTTAACTTTGCAATGAGGCGCCAAATTCTTCTTCTGAAGTTTTTGGATCAAATGTGAAGTTCAAATCTTTCATCAACTTCAAAGCTTTACTTTGATGATCTTGACAAATAAAGTTCCACGGTCCAGCTTCCCTAATAAAATGCAGACCTAATTCTTTAGCTAGTTCTCCACAGTCCTTGGACACTTTTTCAGCTAAGCAACTTGCACTTTCTATGCTATAGCTAAAACGCAAGCAAAATTTATATGTAATTTTCAAGCTCAAATTAGGAAAATGTTTTACATTCGTAATGAAATAAACAAACTTTTACATCTAGTTTCGCTTTTCTGTAAACTCTAAAGCTATTTTCTTTTCTTTTATTTTATTTTATTTTATAGCGGTCATTGAACAGCAGACCGAATTTATGGGGTTTACAACTACTATTGTTCAACCCCGTAGCCTTATAATTTCGAACGGCCGACCAGGTGGTCGAGTGGTTAGCATACCTGATTGCGGAGCCGATGGTCGCGGGTTCGAATCCTGCTCAGGGCACGGATGCTTCTTTCTTTCTCTCTCTCTGTGTTCTATGTCCTTTCTCCTTTGTGTGTATGATTGTGTGAATGTGACCCGCCCTATAAACGGGTTTGTGGTTGAGTGACGTGGGCGACGCTGCTCCACAGCCGTGGCTTTGCCACAGGTGACCACTGGGTAACGATAAGAGAGTAGCAGTCCTGGCATTCCTGAGGCCAATGGGTCTAGGTCCCAAGTGCACGCCTTAAAAAAATTTATTTTGAACCCAATCCTGAAGGCAAGGGAACTCCCGGATCGAGTATTTTGAGAAATTTGCTTTCGCGGAGGACTTTTTGATAAAACTAACCGGCATTTACATTACATGGAGAGGAAGACCACGAGAGCATCCCATGGTTAGTCTGACAGTAAGGGGACTTAAACCCATGATTCGTCAACCACTGAGGATATTTCATGTGAGCACTGTTTTCAGTGCAAGTCAGATGAGGGATTCATATCGACAAGCCATTGCTGAGATTCGAACCCAGTTCACCTAATTGAAAGGCGAACGCCCTATCCCTGAGCCATCGTAGCTCTCTAATAAGCTTCTCCACACATGAGCGAAACTTTCCCAACAAATACGAGAGTTGTTAAAGACAAATCCTAAGCAAAATCTCTTACCATCACGCCATAAGAAGCATAGTTTCTAAAATGCACCGTATTTATTGCTCTTAATAATCTGTGCAATGAGAAAACCAATGTAAGCGTCAAAAAATTTGAAATTGGGATTATTGTATATTTGGTATTAGTTTGATGGAGATCAGTATAATCAAATTGGAATTGGATTTTTGGTATTTGTATGATTAAATACGTATTTAATTTCCTTTATCAGCTTTCATAAATTCTATTCTAGCTTTGATTGTACAATCGTCAGAAAAAAGAAATATCAAGCCTTTTTTTTCAAAATCTTTCGTAAAATACTTAAGTTGATTTTTTTTTCATTTGCATCACAGAATACATGATTTTAGAAAAACAAACTTTAAAAAACAAAAAATGAAACTTGCAAATATGTACACAAGGGGTCACAAATTTATATTAAGTAGAGTGAGGATCATGTAAATTAAATCATGCAAATCTGTAGAATCACTAGTGAAGAAAGTGGGATGAAAAACATCACTGCCAATTTGTCAACTAGATGAAACGTGAGGTTGATTAGAATAATAAGCGGTTTTTTGATATGCTCTTGCAATCAAATAGTTACTGAGGTTATTTGATTTTGATTGAGGTTTTGTTTTTTCTTGCCTTAAATATCAATTTGTGACTATTGTGTATATTTTACAATTTAATTTTTGGCAAGGATTTCAAATAATATGAATTAATGGTGGTCATTAAAAAATAAAGTTATTTAGACAAATAAAATATTTTGAAAATTTGTTTTTACCTAGATTATCGTGCTTTATATCTGAGACCTAAGTACAGTAAGTATAGCGAATAATTAACGATATAAAGTTAAGAAGTTCTCAGTTATTTTTTCTAAAAATCGATTTACTTTATTATTTTGCAGACTAAATACGAGAATAGGATTAGTGTCAATGAATGAGTTAAATAAAGAGTGTATAGCTAGAGTATAAGTGTAAAAGCCGAGAAATAAAAGACTTTAATTCTTATTTTAAATTTTAACGTGGCAGTAAGATGACATGAGAACCTAATTCAAGTTTTTAACTTTTTAGGTTTTCAAAAAAATCTTTTTTTTTTCAAAATTTCTTGCTTTTAAATTATTATCAAATGTTTTATATATCTGAAGAACTCTGGGAAAGTGAATGTCCAGTAAGTTAATGGAATGACAATAGGTATACAAATGAAATTACGTTTCATGAAATACTTACTAGCAGCTATGCAGTGATGTATGAATTTTAGTATCATTTAAATAAGCCAGTTTAGAGTCCTTTTCTATTTCACTTGCGCAGTTTCTAAAGAAATCGAACGGTAAATTCCTTTTCAAACTTTCGTAGCAGTTGCCGAATTTCGGAGCTCCTAAAACAAATAAATGTCTTCCTAACATGTAACAAGTAAATCAAGAAAACATTAACGCGGTTCTTATAATCACAAAAACTTAATTACAAAACTACTATACATCAAATATTCCCCCCCCCCCAAATCTGCAGAATAAGTGATACAATGATAATAATCAAAATAAAACAATTAACTGCATCTTAAAGAGAATGATAAAAATTTATAATTGAAATGTACGAATTAATTGCAACTCAAAACATTTACAATCGAATTATTCAAGCTAAATGCAACTATAAACGTGGACCATATAAAATTTTAATATCGAAGTAAAATAATTGATTAGTCTCAATAAAAGTGGTATAAAACTTTTAAGTTGAAGCCTAATCTATACATAATAATAAAAGCGGCTGTGTGTGTGTGTGTCTGTAATCACAATATATCGCCCCAGAAGCCTCGCCCAGGCTCGAAACTCGACACATAATTGTGTTTTGACATAATGAAGAAGTATTTTTTTTCTTTTTCAAAAATTTGGATTAGTTTTTTAGTTATCAGTCATTTTGTAAGAAAATCTATGCTTTTTCGTCTTCAAAGAGCCATATTCAAAAAACTATTAAAAAATGCATATCTCTTATAAATGTATGCTAATGCGAACCTTACAAATGAAACATTAATTTTCGACAACTTAAACCAATAATATACGAAGGAATTAATAATTTAATTGTAAGGTTCGCATTAGTTTACATTTATCAAAGTGGATAAAACTTTAACTTTTGTACTAAAAATGTGGCAACATATTAGATACGTAAATAGAACGCTACGCTTTGATATATTTATCGCTGTTCATAATTGTTATAATAAGTTTTTCTTCTTCTTTCCACGCTTTTTTTTTTTTCTTAAGCGAAGACGATAAGGGAAAATTATACTTGAGGATGCCCCTTGGCGAAATTGGTGACTTATGTTTGGCGCTATTCCTGTTTGCGCGGAACACCGTGGTAACAGAAATAACGGCCAAAACATAATGATATTTCAAAAAACATTGGAAAATTTCAACAAAACATCGGATAAAGCTTGCAATGAACCCAATATAAGCAAAATTAATAAATCCAATAAAAAGGATTTTGAATCGAAGCAAAAATTAATGGAGTAGGTGCAGAAAGAAAAGGAAAAAAAAAACAACTCACTTCTTCATTAAGCTTGAATATACTCAGATTTAGGTGCACAGAATTATCTAATAACAGTTAGATACTGTCTAAATTTATCGTGAATAGAATCTGTGTACCTCCATCGTCACATAAATTCGGCGAAATATGAATCGAAAATGGCGTTTGTGGTACCGAACTGGTGATGACATTTTTTTATAAAGTCCCTTTTTATGACTGCCCACATACCTTCGATCTTATTGACCAGAAGTAAAAGTAACCTTACCAGCCGGTATCTAACGAAGAACTAATGGACCTCTGAAATTACGTATACCGTTGAACATTAATAACGCTAAAATCTAAACCGTTGAGAATCACGATTGGGTTTCAACATCGCCCAGCTTGGCGATCAACCGCGATCACAACTTGGCGAGAATCAAGGGGCACCCTCAAATATAGTCTACCCGACGTTAATTTTTGTAGCGATATAGAAATAGAAATTGATACCATAAAAAAATTATAGAGAAATAGATACCATAAAAAATTAATTCGTTTTCGTGTTCTTTTCATGTATTTAAAGCAACTTTTGTATGCTTTTACAATTTCTGAGGCCTTTTTTTAAGAAAAAAAAACAAGTCTCCACCTGATAGTTATATTATAGGTTAGGTTACCATAGCAAAGTTACATCTTCAAACATCCTCAAGAGCTATAACACATCTGCAGCAGAACTGGATATGAAGACAAAATTGCAGGACAGAAACACTTTAATTGTCCACTAATCTTCAGATTTCCTGCTATGTTTTAAAAAACTTTATTTGTGGAAACCTTTAGCGTGGCGGACAGCTGGCCGCCTTTGCGGCTAGTAATTAATAAAACGAATTCAAAATGATCATTCAGAAATCGTATACTAATTTGGGGTTAGATTTCCAAAACAAAACTTTAGAAACTTCTGCACAGAAAATAACGTGACTTTTATTCGAGGTAAGCGAGTTTTCAATGAAAAGAAATTGAAATAAATTGCGGAGTTTTTTCCTATTTAAGTAGTATAAAAATATTGGGAATGCGCCTATACCTGTGACCGCCAAGCGCGCTAAGTTAGGAAAAAAAAAGTCTTTTTTCTTCATTTAAGAATTATTTTAGAAGTGTAAGATTAAAAAAATATATTTTCTTTTAAAGCAAAGTAATACTTGTAAGAGGAAAACGAAACACTTTATGCAATTAATTTCTTATAAATTGTTTTTTTAAAAATAAATTTGTTCCATTAATGCATTAATATTATAGAGAACTTTCCGTATCTGTCCAAGTCAACAGTCACTAACAAATACAATCCTTGAACATTTAGTAGTTCAGACATTTAATAAAAACATTTTGAATTCTATCTGTCCGAATGTCAATCGTTAATAAGTTTTATTATTTATAAAGCTTAAAAACTGTTTCAAGTTATAATTATAATTGTTTTTGCAAATTTATTACATGAATTTATAAAAGTATGCAGTTTTTATTCTTGATATTTAAAAGGTGTATAAATTGCGTAGTATATGATTTATCCATTGTATCAGAATAATAAATAAATAATACGACAAAATACAGGGTTTTCTGTGAAGACTACCTTAAATACGTACCTTTAGGATCCTTATCAAAAATGAAAGCAAAAAACATACACATTAGCGTTCCCAAGTGAATATTTAACCGAGAAAGAACCAAAACGCTATTAGAATCTGGCATATCACAGTACAGGATGCCGGCGTAATAAGTAATAAGACATGATTACCAGAGGAAACAAATGCTTAAAGACGATTATTAGAAGCGCCTTCAAGTTTAAAACTTCCAATTAAACTTTTTTTGTTGCTTATCATATTCATTTCCTCTATTGTTATTTGCCAGATTTTGGTAGTGCTTTTGCCTTTCTTCACTTTGAGAACCCTAACATAGATACTTCCCCCCCCCTTTCTTTTTTAGGGATTCTGAAAATACACATTTAGGACAGTCTTTAAGAGACTCCCTGTATATTAAAGTTATAGGAATTGCCTATAAATGTTTATTATTTTTTATATTACCTCTGTACCAAGCAGAATTCTTTTCGCAAAAGGTCTTCCCAGCTTTCAATAGAGACTGAACCAATTGCAATGGCATGACACTGCGTGATGAACATTGTTCTTGATAATTTGCAACACATTCTCCGAAAGGTATGGCATCTCTAGAATAGAATTTATTAGCTTTTTATCGATAAGTATTCTAAGTGCTGTTATAAAATAATAATCCCCTGCTATATTTGGATTATGAGTTTAAGTCTCCGTAAAATTTCCTTTTGCATCATTTGATAACAAATACTTACAATACAATAAAATATGATGGTATAAAGAAAAATAAAACACGCGAAAAACAAACTCTGATGATCTCCCACAATTCCGGTGTCATTTTAATAAATTTTGTTTAATAGTACAAAATAAAATTTGTGGGAAACTCCTTATCATTAATAGCTTATAATACAACCTTATCATTAATAGCTTACATTAATAAATACAAAAACTACTTGGAAACTTGAATCGTTTTAAATTTTCAAGACATCCAAAACAGATTAAACTACAGAATGATGAATTTTTAAAAATTTTTTTTACTCACTTGCTCAGTATAAAAAATCAACTTTTAAAGCCCATATCTTAAACAATTTTATTGATTTTTTTTTAAATTTTAAAATAGTAATTTTGTTAAGTATTGACAATCACTTCAAAAATTTTGTTTAATTTTGGTGACTATTTTTAAAGTTATAGCAAATTACGTAATACAAAAAAACTAGTTTTTTTACGAAAGATATTCCCGAAATATTTAAGCTAAGTTTTCGAAAATTCATGCAATCATTGTAAATAACAGCCTCAGTAATCTATGCAAGTCACAAGCTTATTGCTAGATTTTCTGGAATAGAGTATTTAAAAATACTTTTTTTCGTTCGTAATTTATTGCCGGTTTCTTAAATTATAGTTTTAAAATTGATTGATAAGTATGAAAAATCGCGTGATCTAAGCGCCGCCTGCAAAGTTATTAAATAATCCTCGACGTACTTTTTGAGAAATTTAAAAAAAGTATTGAAACCTAAAATGATCTCTTCTATCATTCTAAATGCATATATATTTAGTTTTCTTACAAGCAAAGTTTTTCCATCTCCTTAGGTGATTCTGGAAATTTCATTGAGTAACCTTGTTCAGGTATTTTACATATATCTTCAACGCGTTCCTCGCATATATTCTCTCCATTACTAATCCACACTAGAAGACAATTAAAAAAAATTTGGTTATAGCAATAAAAAAATCAAGATTCATAAGTCACACAATCATTTTTTATAGCCTTTTTCTTATAATTTAGTTTACTGTGTTCTTCGAGGTTTACAATACTTTCCAAAAAGTATAAATTGGTTTATACAGAAGCGTTTATTGCCGAATTGAGAGATGTTAAGTTTATTATATTCTGTATATTAATATTTAATTAAACATGTGAGAATCAAAAGCGATAATACAGATTTATACTCATTTAAATTAAATAGTAAAAAATTGAACTGGAAATGAGAGAGAAATATTTTTTGCAGGGAGCATATTTATATTCTAATCCAGATATTATTCATTAAAAATTATGTAAATGTTTTCAAAGGGTTAAAAAATATTATTTCTGTAATAAAAAGAATATATTGGGTAAGTCTAGCTGATTTCTATCTGTTAATTGAAAAGTTAAATTACTTAATCAAAATTTATTAATAAACTTAAATAAAGTAGTTAAACTTTTTCAATGATGTTTTTAGAAAAACTGATCTTTAAAAATAGGAAATTGAAATTTCGAAAAGTTTTTTAATAAAAAACAATTAAAAACTAAAAAAAAGGACAAAGAGAAGGGAGATAATTATTAGTTTAGTACACGAGTAGCTTTCTCGATTGCTGTATATAGTAATTCTTACCAATGCAGAGCAAGAAAAAAATATTCTTATAAAACATAATTTAGAGATGAGAAAGAGAAGCTTCGTATACAATATAGATTGATGTAACTGGTTCTGTTAACGAAATGGAAAGTTATTTAACACGAAAATGGGAATTGTTACAATTTCCAAGGTCAATAGTGATGAAACGAGGAAAATTTTCAATATTTTTGCACGTTAAAATACTCTTTTCACTTTCTTTCTGAAAACCATATTTTATGAATAGATCCACCTTTCACTCAATCAATGTTTTTTTTTATTTACATTGAGTGGAGCATGCATGTATCATGTATGCTTTCATAATTCTTTATTATGAAGGCATACGTGATTTACAAATAAATAAAAAATAGTTAGTGGGAAAACTGCTCATGTAAGGAAATGAAATTAACACTATTAACCAGTAACTCATAAATATCTTATTTGTAAAATTTATTCACATTTCTTAAATCTGAAAATAAAAAAGACATGTAAAGAAAGATAATACAATTGCTAACCTTATTAGAGCAATTATGAAACGCTTCCGACTGGCCAAAATTTAAGACTTGTCTGCTTCAAACAATAAAGTTATGGTGTGTGAGCATTGACAGTAGAAAGTGTACGTGTCAAAAGTTACAAACATTAAGTTCTCTAATGGAATACCTGACACAGTGTGGATATCTCAGTCCTGATTGGTTACTGAAACGTGGCATTTGTTTGCGTTAGCAACTGTGCATCCCATTCTATTTTGAGTGAGCCAAGCCCGTCAAGTATCAATTCTCTTAAGTGACATAATCTATATTCTTTGACGAAGACTTCAATTCTTTCACCATATACTTCTTATTTAGCACAAAGACAGACACTGTTAGAGATTGTAATATGTTTTTATAGTTGGTGTCACGTGACTCTGACTGCTGCTGCTGCTGCTTTCATTTAATTTTTATTCTTTAACTTTGGTTTTTATGTTGGCAACCTTCTTGAAATGTTTTGTGTTGATTTTTTAGTGTTCGAATTAGTTAGTTTTTGAAAATATCACTAAATTGAGATTGCTTTAGAATTAATAAATGTTTATTAAGTTTTAATTTGTATCTGTTTATTCATCTGTAGAACTAGTAGTTCATTTGAATAACATTAAAAAGGCGTCCGTGAAATTTATTTGTTTGCTGCAATTTACAGACACGAAGCCTTTTAGAACATAAGCAAACTAATTATGCATCAAAGTTGCCAGGTACACAATACAGAAATATATCACGGTTACGATAAAATACATTAGCACATAATAAATATAAGCTAAGTAAAAGACGTAGATGGGAAAGTATTACTTTTAAACTAATTGGAGGATTTAATTAATTTTATGTTAATTAACATTCTAACTTACGAGGGGAAACTTAGCTCAACTTTAGCGTGCCATTTTGCATTTTGCTAACTGACATCATAGGTCCCATGTGTGGGTATCCGAAGTCTTCTTCTTGAACTGTAAGTACCTAATTACAACTCCAAATTGTAACCGAAGCAGATAATGGTCACGTGTGTTTAGAAACCGTAAAAAACACGCGTGAAGTTTGTGCGAAGTAAAAACATTCAAATAGAAGAAAAAAAAAATTCTGTTGGCTGTAGGGCGACGTGATTGGTGTTTAAAAAATTTCGTTTGCTGTGTTTTAGAATTTGTCATTGAAGCGTATTGGAATGCAAAAAAATACTTTATTTTATTTTATGTATTGTTTTTTTATCATAAAAGTGTCGATAAATAACTAAAAAACCTGTAAAATTACACTTTTTTTAATCGGAAAATGGACACTCAATATTTTTTTTTCTTCATCGAAAGCTTTGTTATGATTTTGACCACATAAATGATATCTTAAAGCTTGCGCAGTCAGCTAAGCTCCCTCTTTTCAAGGCAAATGAAAGAGATTTGAGGGAGTGTTCCAATTTATTCTACACAGATAAATGAGGCATTGTTTCTGATGTATTTTTTTCTAACAAAATGAATCAAATGAGACCAATCACAACGATTGGACTAATATTTCAGAAGTTGCAAGAGTTTTATGTACAAAAATGTACAATTTTGACTTTTGCCTATTTAGGCATCATTCTTTACTATTTAACCAAATGAATTATTGTATCCTATGTATTTTTCCAAGCTAAATCGAATGAAACTATGCACAAGTAAATTGAATGAATATTTAAGAAGTTATTTAGCTTTTTATGTATAAAATGCAAGCTTTTTGACCTGTGTTATGTAGAGTTTTTAAATTGCTATCCTAGAATTATCTGAACATGAAAGGTGTATTTTTGTTATAATTGAATTATCCCGAGATTAATCGAATAATAGTTAAGAAGTTTCTGTTTTGTATCAAAGTTTTGTACTTATAGTTACCTAATATTGTTACCTTTATATTTTACTACGCTAAATTGAATAACACCAAGCAGGACTCAACAGCATTAACAGCTTTTTTTTGTGGTATCAGGTTAAAAACCTGTTTTACTTTATTTACCAAATAATTCCTTATAAATTTGAATGAAATACTCGCTATTATTCGCTAAATTGAATGATAATTCGACTAAAGAATAATGGGACTAATAATTCGGTAATAAAGACAAGTTCTTTCGGATGTTAGGTTCATACTCAGATTTCCCTCTCTCTTATCATCCCCATTTCCCCATAAAAAATGATTAAGTGTGCAGGAACGTTTTTGGTTACTGTTTATAATGACACAACAAAGCATTCGATGACCAAAATAATCTTGGTTATAATTTTTTTTTCAAAACCTATCTTATTCTACTAGACTATACGTACAAAACTGTGCTTTTTATACTTTTAAAAATCTTTGTAACTTCGAAAATATAACCACTTCTTAACCATTAAACTGATCTCTTTGAAATTGACTTCATTCAATTTAGCATGCATACACTAGAAAATATACCTTTCATATTCAGAGAGTAAATGGATGCAATTTAAATTTTTTTTAAGCTTTAAGTGGTGGATATTGAGACTAAAATAGTTGGGGTTAAATCAGCATTCTTTTTTTTTTTTTTTAAAAAGTGTTACGATGTTGAATATCCAGGAAAAGATTATTTTCTCTATTCAATAGATCATTTTTCTAGACAAACACTTCACTTCAATGGGTTAATATCAATAATCACTAGTTACTATTTTAACAATACTATACTTAAATATATATAAAGAAAAGTACTTTTGTTCAGAACATCAGGGAAAAGCACTTAACCTTAGTAAAAACATCAGCATAAGTAATACCGAATAAGTATCAATTAGGAAATGAACCACCATATTGCTTTGTCTTTATTCCAGTGCAAATAATTAATATGTACGGCTAATAATTAATATTAACGGGGATAATAATAAACAGTTATATAAAAAAAATATTCTGATTATTAATAATAACCACGTCTCTAATAAACAGAATTACCGTAACTAGTATTTTCCTTAATCTCTCCTTTATTTGTTATAAAATATCTTATTCCTAAACCTAAAAGATAAATTTTTTAAAATTTAAAATAGCATGTTATATTGAAGTTGGTGCAATTTGAAACTTATTTTAAGACCAAATTAATTCGCATCGCCAAATATGGGTTTACCACCTCAAACGGGAATATTAAGAATACTTTCCCTTTCCTCACCCACCTGAAATTTAACAATTTTCCTTGATCACATCAACCTGGTAAGCGTGAATTGGCGCCACCAAAAGAAATCACTTAGCATTCCCGTTAGAGGCTATGATTTAATGTTTGGCTAACAAAATCAGTTTGTAAGCAAAATAAAATTCGGAATACAGTTTATCCAAAAAATATAATACAGCGTGATATTTTGTGTTAAAATACTCCTTTATTTTTTTAATAGCTAATAATATTTTTTAAAAAATGTGTTCTTTTTTTCTTATAATAGAGTAAGGATAGATTGAGAAAAATATGTTTATAGGATCTGAATGTCAGCCATGTGGTTATTATTAATAATCATCGTTTATTACTAACAATATTTGAATTAATTGGAATAATGGTAAGGCGTGCCATTGCAAGATTTACATTTGCCCTTACGTTGATGATTTTGTAAGACAAAGTACCACTTCCGGAGTACCCAACTCTGATAATTTTTAAGATTAAGTGCAATGGTCTAGCATAAACTTATCTGGTATACCTTACACTGATTCCTTATAATTACGATCATCAATTATTAATAACTGATTGAGTACATGTTCTTTGTACGGGGTGTAAAAAATAAAAAAATCAGTACAGAACAACAGATTAAACGATAAGAAATTATACACGAAACTGAAACAGTAATTTATCAAACCAATTAATAAAGCTAAATTTTCCAATATTTATTTATTTATTGCTATATTTTGTCCTTCCTGTTGGCTTTATGTTATTAGATAAAGCAAAACATGCTTTTAATATGCCATCAAAATAAAGTTTACTGTATTCAGTATCATTTAAGATGATGCTGCTGCTCCTGGCTGTATCTATATTACAACTCCTTTGTACTGATGCAGTTTTTATACATACCAAATGCTGTAATATAATATATTTTACCGCTATTAGTGTGTTTGGTACCAACTAAAACTGCACCGATTACAATAATACCAGTTGTGCATATAACCAAAATTAATTATGCGTCATTGGCGTCAACAATAGCATGCGTTTTTTTTTTGCGTTTACCCTAAACGAATTAGTACCATTTCTCTATTAATTTTGTTTATAGTATGTAGTTTATTTCATCTTTTTGTTTCAATTAGTCCCTATTACCCAAATTAATGAAGCATCATTGACGACAATAATAGTTTGACGATTTTTTATACTTCTCTTCAAGGAATTAATACAATTCTCCATTCGTTTTGATTTTTAATACTTAGTTTATATTTACTACTGTTAGTAACTATTACAGAAAAAAATTAATTAAACATTATTAGCATCACTAATTGTATGGCGAGGCGTTACGCTTCGCTTAAATAACTTTAAACTATTATTTCTCTTTTTTTTTCTTTTTAGCACATAGTTCATTTTTTCAAAAAAATTTCATTTAGTGCTTATTACTGACATTGTTTAAGCATGATTGACGTCAATATTAACACGGCGTTTTTTTACGTTCTTCCTAAACAAATTAGCATTATTTCTCCTTTAATTTTGCTTTTCAGTGCTAATTTGCTTAAATTTCAAATCATAGTCATTGACTTTAGTTTTAGTTTTTAAAAAGCACTTTTTTAAAGCATAACTATAAACAAAATAAACACGTGATTTCAAGACAACTTTAGGTAAGGCTACTAACTTTAGGAACTAATTACTGACGTAGTCCTCCTAACTCCTATCTATGTCGTAGCCATCCTGTTTAACTTAGGACCTTGCGTTCGAGCTTCTCTGACATAACGAATAAAATATTAAAGATAGTACAATAATTTTTTTTAATGATTTTATGTTTATCTTTAAAACATTAAAAAAATAGAATAATTTATAATTGAATTAAGACAATTTGCTTTAAAGTTGAGCCAATTTCATTTTTTAAACGTCTCTTTGAAAGATCTAATTAAAGTTTTTGAACTAATTATTGGATAGAGGGCTAAAATTGTCTTAATACATTATTTCTCTATTTTTTTGATGATGTACAATTTGCTTTACAGTTGCACTTTTTTTACTGTTGCAATTAATCCTTATAATTAGCACCGGTACTGTAATGAACAATATTAGCTTTGAAAAATACGGAATTATCTTTAAAAGTAATTGTTAATGGAAAAGTAGGATTCTAAAGTAAATTTTTTAAAAAATAACAAAATCACTTATCAAAATCTTTATCATTTTTAAATATAACAAAAATTAAAACTAATAAAGCTTTATTATGTGAAGTTAATGACTTTTCTCCCACAACTATGCTTCGTCTTCACACTTGGCTTTAAATTCCTCATCGGTATCTTTTGGTTCAAAAGAGAATCCCATGCCATTCATCTCATTTTTGATCCCATATTGGTCACCAGGACAGAGTAGATGCCACAGAATGTCTCCCTTTCCAAAGTGCAGAATCAATTCTGTTGCAGTTGTTCCACAATCCGTAGACAACTTTTCAAATATGCATTTTGCAACTCCAACTTTAAAGCTGGTTATGAGTAAAACAGTTATGTTAACTATAATAATAAAACAAAATACTGCTCAGCATTCTGAACTCGATCGAAAATAATAGAGAGATTTTCATAGCGTTTGTTTCAGGTTAACCTTAATGTTAACTTTATTTTCTCTCTCTCCCATGACTCTATAATTTGTTGGGAAAGACAAATTATAGAGTTATAATTTGTGACTCTATAATTTGTTGGGAAAGATAAATTATAGAGTCATGGGAAATCAAAAGAATCTAGACTCTATGATTTGTTGGGAAATTTTCGCGCATGCGATGTGAAGCTTGAATAGCGTAATTGTTAGAGTAAAGGGGAACTATAAACTTATGCAAAATCTTTCCATTGTTAAGATGTTTAACTAAATAACAAATAATAATAAAAAATTAAAGATTTTCTGATGAAAAGTGAGAGAAATAAAAACGAGAACACGTTAATGACGTTATAGATAATTGTCAAACTAAGATGTGAACTGAATAAATGGAGAGGTCAACCTTAAATATGCTAATTTATTGGTTTAAGCAACATTTGAAGTTACGAAATCTGGAAATATTTTTTTCTCTCTCTGAAGAAAAATCACACATTTTATTCGATGAGTTGATTCTTGACCCTCGAAATATTGGTGGTAGTAGAAATATGGAAAACATGATCATCATAATATGGTCAGGAAAACAGTCGATAGTTTAAAACCTTTAATACAAATGTTCTTTTTTGTGTATTTTGAGTTCGCAAAGTTGTTGGAAGTTGAAATTTTTTTCTTCTAGAAATAACCACCTCTTCTTTTCAAATTTTTGATATCGTCATTTAAAATTACGTAGATTGAAGTGGTGTAAAAACTTATGTACATTACAAGCTGAAACAGCTAATAATTTCAGCTACTTTGATGTAGTTAGGCATGATCTTCTCTAGCAAAGAAATGGAGCTATGTAGTGTTGCGTAACTCGATAGAGTTAAAGTTGTTTTTCGAAAGCTTTGTCGTCACATAAAATGACGCTTTTTAGCGAAGAAATATGCTATTTTTATAATTATTAGAGAAGAAATATGCTGAATATATAACAATTATGACTTAAAAAATGAGATTCTCCAGCACTCTGAGCTAAATATAAAAATAGCTTAAAATGATATCCTTTTGCACTTCGATGTCTCCACGGAGGCACCATCAACAATCACCATTTTAAAAGTAAGAAATTTTATACCTTAATGATTAGTAACCACATTATTTTAAGAATTTTCAAATTGTATAGTAATACTATATTGTGTATTTTAAATGCTATAGTGCTGATATTAGATCAAACAGCTTTTAAGAGTACTCGGAGTGTAAAGGGTTAACATGAGGAAAAACCTCAGTTTTGCGAAAATGAAAAGCGCTTGTTGTCTAATTGTTTAATATTTAAATAGTAACTCCTACGATGGACTAGGAAAAGTTTTGAGAAAGTGAGAATTATTTGTTGAATATTAAATTGTTTTAAAAATCCCTAGATTGGAGAAATTTTTGCCAAAATCGACGACTTAAAATATTTGAAAATTTTGAAAAATATTTCATAACTTTCAGTTTCATAACTTTTGATTGTATATAATAAATATCTAAGCTTCTTTACTGCAAAATGATTTATAGAGTTTAAAATTATAGTTTTTTTCTCCAAGTTTACTACAGTTTAAACTGTATTTTTTTATTTCGTTGCTAAACTTCCCCTCGAATGTTGTCTGATATACACCGAAGAGTCATTACATTATGACCACCCTGCTAATAACATGTAGGACCACCTTCAGCCCTCAAAACTGCTGGCACCCGCCTTGGCATTGATTCCACAAGGTGCTGAAAGGTAGTCTGAGGTATCTGGTACCAAGCGCTCACCAACTGGTCCTCCCCCCTCGCAATGTGAGGGATCACATTGCGAGGGGGTAGCGTGGCAGCACGAATTTGGTTTTCCAAGTAGAACCACAAATGCTCTATTGGATTAAGGTCAGGTGAATTTGGGGGCCAAGACATGACTTGAAAGTCACAGGAATGTTCCTCGAACCAATCCATGACGATTCGACTCTTATGACATGGTGCACTATCCCGTTGGTTAACACCATCCCCCGCAGGAAAAACTGTTGCCATGAATGGATAAACCTCATCTGCAACTATGTTCAAGTAGCTTACAGATGTCAGGGATTGTTCTATGAGGATTATGGATCCTAATGTGCCCCATGAAAACATTGTTCCTGGGCGAGAAACCATGAAAACCTGGGCGAGCCCATTGTTATAGATGGAGGGTGGTCATAATGTAATGGCTCTTCGGTGTATTTCCCTTTCATTTGATTTTGAAGCTGTTCGTATCTAACTATGTTAGTAACAGCAACTCTTGGGTGAGCTAAAGCGGATGACTTCGCATTAATTTGGCTTAGGAATGAAACGTTTAAATTCCATTTCGATTATTGCATCACTTTCGGCAACTTTTTTCGAAAGGAAGAAGCCAAATCTCCTTTTTAAACAATTCGTTTATGACAATCACATTGAAAAGTATCTACGTTTGTACTTCTCTAATACATATATTTTGCTTTTGTTCCTTTATTTCTGCAAAGGTTCAATAGAGGATGATTAAAGTTAAATATTTCTAAAGTTAAATATACTTACTAGCATCTTCGTTTATCTGGTTTTCCCTGAGTATCAAAGTTTGACTCGGATATCCATTTTTCTGATTCAGCCCTGCAATCTGAAAAGTATTCTTTTTTCATGCTTCTCCCAAACCTTTCTAAGACTTCACCTTGTCGTAACATTTCTTTGAAATAAACATATAAAAATTAATGTGAACTGCATTGTAAAATATTAAAAAAATAACATGAATAAATTTTACATTTGTGCGCATTGATCTATATGCATAAGTTAATAATAACAAAAATGAGAAAAAATACTGTTTTTTAAAATTGTGTGCTTTGAATGAAGTTTGTAAACTTTAAATTACTTCACTAATTGGTTTGACAACAAAAAAAAAATTAACATTGCACATTGTAGAAATATATTATAGTAAAAATCAAGATTGCATTATAGTTTTTAAATGCATAAGTGTTTTTGCCATGCTGATAGATTTTATTCAATTCAATCCTATCAAGCAAAATTGAAACTGGATTCGATTTGATTTCTTATTGAGATTAGCTAGAAATTTAAAATAAGGTGCTCTTTATTGCTACGATTTTTAAAGCTCGAGTTGTAACAGAGCTTTTAAAATGCATACTTTAGCAATTCAGAATTAGATACTGCGGTAGCTCAGAGGATGGAGCATTCGCATACCCATGAGGTGAAACAGGTTCAAATCCCAGTGGTGGCTGGTGAATTTGAGTTCCATAACCCGGCTCACTCAGACCACAGTGTTGACTTAAAATATTCTCATCGGAAGACGGATTATGGATTAGAATTCCCGTTGAGCTAACTGTGGTTTTTTTTTCTTCTGAAATCAATGCATAGTTTTATCGATGGGTTAGTTTTATCGAAAAGTACTCCTCGAAATTTATCAGGAGGATGTCCCTGTTTATTCGGTTTCTTACTTCAGGAGTTTTCTTGTGTTCTGGGTTGCAAGGTTACAGAATTTAACTTCGGTAGTTCGAAACCAAAAAACAAAATGGGTAGCTTCTTCAACGCATGTTATAAAATAATATGAAAAGTTAAAAAAAGACCCAAGGAAAATGTCTATCTTGGATTATATAACAAGCGGATTCTTAAATAATATACTTATGTATGACGAAAAAGATGTACAGTAACATGTTTCAGAATTAAATTTAAATAGCACGCAGCACTATTTTTAAAAAAATATAGTATATAATTATAATTTCAGACATTAAAGTTAAAAATAGATTAATAACGATGCTACCTCTCTAATCCGACTATTTCGATTATTCGAAATAGATCTGCTTCCAATAACTTCGGATAATTAAAGTCCTATTGTATATCTGTCAAATGGAATTGGTATGCATGTCGTAAAATTTCTCATTTCTCCAATGAACACTTTAAACTACCATGAAATAAATTTGGCAAGCTTTGTTAAAGGTAAATACGGAAACGATTTCTGATTTTTTTAAAAAAATTATGCAATGAATGCTCTAAACATACGTTTATTACTTAATTATACAAGTTCATTAATTTTCTTAAAAAATATTTTCCCATCCATATGATCTTCAGAAATTAATTCTTTGTTCGAAAATTTAGCGCATTTTTCATGGTGTAAAAAACTAATTAAGAAGTTTGTTGGAAAATTAGTTTAAAAAGTCTTGAAAAATTAAAATATTCTCACCTTTGAACCATATATCCGTTTCGTCACAGAATTTATTTATCCTTTCCAGTAGAGGTTCAAAAATAGGTTTTATAGAAAATGCAGAGTCATTAGGACAAGTTTCTTGGTGACTTATGCCACATTCAACCATGGATTTAAAGGCCCTTAAAAAAGCATAAAATCAAACCTTTTATCTTTTTCTAATTATGCTTTTAACATTAGTTAATATAGAATATCAATTGTATGGCACAGAGGTATCAACTGAACTGAACGGAGCTGCGGAGTCTATAGTTGAAATGTTCGATTCCAATTCCATCGTGGAACGTCTTATAAGTTTGACTCCAACTTTAACTTATCTGCCTATCTATATATTTCTCTTGCGTGGCACCATAAAATTGGGTATTCATTCATTTGTTGGCAACATCATAGTTAAGTTATCGTATGGGCAATATTTTAAGTAGTGTTGAATAGTTAAGTAATTATTTAGAATAATTTTGTATTTTTATAGAAATAAAAATTTACTTAAGTATTTAATTAAGATTTATTTTTGATTCTTTCTAAAATGGCCATAGAAATTTTAAAAATAAATGATGTGCTATGCCGCATACTATTATTAAAATAATTGTTTGGCTATATTTTATACGAAACTCAAGTTATGGCTCGCGAAAGGCGTGCGGAAGTAGCACAGCTCGTAATAGAGTCTTGGTCCAATTTTCATCTTATTACGCGACAGAGATGGAAATAATTTTAATTCTTTTGCTGCTTACTATGGCAAGATGGAATAAAAATATGAATACAAAGTAAGTTTATATTGACTCGTAAATGGTTTTTTTTTATTTCCAATGTCAGGGCAAAAAGTACAAATACCTAAATAAGATAAAGGTAAAAAAGTATAACTATGTACATGAGATGACAAAATAAAACCGCAATCATTGGCCTGAAAGTTCCCTCGCTTCCTAATACTGTGAGAACTCAGTGTGACCACTAATGGTCCCAGATCGAAGAAAGTGGCCCCTGCCCATTTCTTGTCCTGTATTACAAAGTGGATAAAAAAAGCGTAGCAGGAAGGCCTATGCGATGTAGATGAGCACGGAGACAATCACGGTCCTTAGATAAGCGGAAGGCCGTAACTGCATCACCCCTTGGTTTGTCGGATATCAAAGAAGAGCTTACTCTCCTCTAACTTTTTAGAGCTGTGTGAGTACTAAGATTCCGCGATGAATTAGTTTTATGCAGATTTTTAAGTTGTTGTATTTGGATTTTATAATAAATTCACACCTTTTTTTCAAACTAAATCTTCTAGTTCATTACCCCAAACACCACAATGGGCAGCTGCCTATTGTGGTGCATCATCAAATTTGCTTCTTTAAACCTATATGACATAACGTTGAAGCAGCCGGAGTTTAGGTCAAATAAATGTTCAACTTCAATAACGACTCCTGCAAAATGTTTTTTGACCCTGATTACTCGACTCTGGCTTCAAATCTGCCTTTCCAGCCCCGACTGGTTCGGAAGAAAATCGGAAAGATTCATTCAAGTTGGCTATATGAAACTTTTTAAAGGAAAATGAAAAAGCCGCAGTTTGAGCACTTTAAAGTACACAACGTCAACTCAGCACTAAAAATACTAAATCAGGTAGTATAGCAACTGCTTGATTTGGGTTTGTGATATGTTTGAACCCTATACTATTTTAATGAAATGTCTGGACTTTAAAACGGACTACAAGCTTAAATATTAAAAAAAGTTTTTTTTTTACTGAACTCACCAATCTGGTGAGATTTTCAAGCAGAAAAGAAAAACAACAAATGCTTTTCGCTTTTCGAGATATTGGTAGTTCTTAATATTGCCATTTAGCAAACCTGATATTGTCTAAATATAGATAAAATTTAACCGAACCATCACAAAACTCGCAACAACATAAAAATGGTATTAAAACCTAAAACATATATTAATGTATATGGAAATAGTATATAGAGGAATAGTATTCATGCGGTCCCTTTTTTAATAAAAGTTCCTACACCTCTAATGCATAAGGGAGACTTTTTGAAATGACCTTTTATGTGAGCGTGACTGCTCAGGCAATAGAGAGTTCGACTTCCTATGAGATGAACCGGGTTCGAATCCCAGAGATGGCTGGTCCATACGAATTCGGCTAGCACCGACCACAATGCTGACGTAAAATATCCTCAGTGGTAGACGAATACCCTTGCAGTCAGACTAACCGTGGGATGTTTCAGTGGTTTTTCTCTCAATGTAACACAAACGCAGGTTAGTTCCATCAAAAAGTCCTACAAGAAGACAAATTTCTCCCAATACTTGATCCAGAAGTTTCCTTGTTTTCTGGATTCGGTTCAAAATTAGAAGGCTATGGAGCTGAACGTTAACTAAAACAGTAACTCAAATATTTCGTCGGCTATTCAACAACGGTTATAAAATTAAATAAAATAAAATGACCTTTTTTTAAAACTGATGTTCAGTCAAAGCTGCAAATTTCTTTTTTATCACTAACTTTACTCTTTTAATTAATTTAAAAAACTATGTTAAATTTTTTTTATCAGAATTCTTTCTTTAATTTTTTTTTGGTTTTGTACTTATGGAACAGGTTTTCTTCAATAAAATAATTATTAACACCCGGTGGAAAAATGAAATAAAAAATGAAATTTAATGATAGTAAATTAATATTAGAGTGAGGTAAAAGAAAAGTACGAAATCATAATATAGAAAATCACTAGTGATAAAGACAGATAAATAGCCTCATAACCAGTTTGATTGCCAGACGTAGTTTGTAGCTGCTTTTAATAATTGTACCTATTTCAAGTCAATCATATTGTTCTGATATTCACCTTCGTCACCGTCGTGATTCGTCAGAGGTTTAGTTTCTTCCTCGTTTATACAGTTACTTTACAAGCACATTACGATGTTTTACGTTAAAAAATACCATATTTATGTTTTTGCTAGATTTTAAAATATCGTATCATAATTTGCAAAATATATTGCAATATTTTGCGTTTGCAAAACAGGTTGAAAATATCGCAACATAGCTTAAAAATATCGATAAATACGTCGCAATATTTTGGGTTCGAAAAATATGTTTAAATGCTTAAAGAAAAGTACGTATATTTTCAAATATATTATAAATATTATAATTGTAAGTATATATGAAAAGTGAATGATATTTTGAGTATGACTTTCTTACGAGCATCTTTCTTTCATTTTTTCTGCAGTATCTGGAAAATTCATTAAATCAGGTGTCATACGCATACATTTACTTTCACCCTCTCCACACGAATCGTGTGCCATTCCAGGAAATGCTAAAAAGGAATTTGTTATTAAACTTGATAAAAATATTTTAAGTCTAGCAATATATAAAGACATTAGTGACTTCATTATGTGAATGAAAGAGAACATTAGCATTTATTGCCACCCTGTTCACATATCTTTTTCAGTTGTCCAGACTATACCAAGAAAAGAATTTATTTTATAACAAGACAAAATATTTGGAAATCTAACTACATTTACTGTTGACAAGAGATTACATTTCGGACGATGTAAACAGAAGATAACACTAAATTCCTAGTCTAGTCCCCTTTTTCAGTCATCTCTGTCCCTTTCTAGATTATAATAAAAACGAATGTATATTAAATTAATCAAAGACAAAAGTGTTTGAAGTTAAAAACATACATTGCATCATGAACCAAATGAAACAAAATATGATTTTATTTACAATGCAAATGAAAGAAGACTTATTAACACCTATTGCCACCCTGTTCTAATGTCTCGTGTCCTTTTCCAGACCATACTAGAAAAAGAATTTATATTAAAACAAGACTTAAGTGTTCCCTATATAACAACGTGTATGACATTAGTGACAATGTAAGCCAAAGTTGGCATGCATGCAATATAAAAAAATCCCTCTTAAATAAATATAGAAAAATTTGCTCGAATATTATTTACAATGTTTATTATAGTCTCAGACGAAAAACTCTCACTTCTGACAATTCAGCAATCCTTGAGCTTGTTAGCAATCTTAATAATAAGGCTTAATAATAAGACTTAATAATAAGACTTAAAATATCAGCAATCCTTGAACCTTGAGTTCGTTAATTTTGAGAATTATTTCGTCACAAAATCACGTGATTTGAAGCGAAACGGGAACTCTAAAATGTATGATGAAAATGTTTCTCCAACTTGAAATCTCATCGTAGAGAATCGTTGAAGATCGTTAACTAGAATGACAATACTAAGATGAAGACTAGACGATCGGAAATAATGCTACGTCCGGGACTTTAAGGAGGTCAAGGTGTTGACCTCATACCTGGAAGATTCCAGGTTCGGATCCTGCTTCGGGAATGGGTGCAATTTAACTATGTGTTCTACCTGTCGTTAGGGAAACATTGATCTACTTAAACGGTGCCAACTATAAAGTCATAGTTTATGGACTACGATTTGTTGTTTTATTCTGTTCGAAAATAGAAAGTCGAAATATTTTTTTAAAAATTTTGGCGAAATTCGTTTCTTTGAAGAAAACACGATATTTATTCCGTCACTTTGACGAAAAATTCACTCGGAGCATATAAGGAATCGGTTTCGTGATAAAAGAAAAGAGTTTCTTGACATTTGAGTATCCATTTCTTGATAGTGTATGACACCAGAGACCATGTAAAACAAAGGATGACACTATTTAAAATGTAAACTAAAGAAGACTGTAACACTTATTGCCACCCTATCAACTGATCTCTTGTACTTTTACACTGTTGAAATTTTCATTCTAAGACTACGGTAAAATAAGCTGCAGCAGTCTGTCCATCCTATTAACCGTAAAGTTTACAGCAAATGACATATTTTACCGTTACGGTTTTGAAACCGTTTGCAACTAGTATGGTCATCAAACCATGAATAAAAACTATACGTTTTTTTTAACCATTTTAATCATGGCTTCAAAGCGGTAAACTTAACTGGACATACGTGCTAATCTTTTTGTTAGGTTTTGGGCATTGGCAAGTGCAGAACGCCGGAAACTTTTCATGTTCTTAAGGGAATGGAGGATATATCGTGGTGTCAACGTAGGGACTCGAGCCCCAGTTCTGCTGATCGTGAGACTGACAGATTAGCCTTCTCGGCAACAATACTTACGCAATTGCAAGGAACTGAGCGGCTTCATTAAGTGGTCTTAGATGGTGAGAAAAATTTCTGGTTCTTTAATCATATTAGCTGAAAGCAGTTTATTAATGGTTTTTCTAACAGTTAACAGTTTGATTACAATCTTATTTATGGTTATTTGACTGTTTTATTTGAATATGGTATATAAAAATTAAATAAATTGTTATTTAACGATTTTTTTCCAAAAAATTTCTAACAGTGTTTCAGAAAAAGAATTTATAACAAGACAAAAATGTTTGAAATCCTGCAGCGTGTAAGTATTATCATGCAAAAAAAAAGATGGCATGCAACATAAATTAACTCGTAATCTGCAAATTTGCTTAAATATTATTTAAAACGCTTGCTACCTAAACCCTAACTTTTATCGTCCCCTTTTTCTCACATCTATTGTCCCTTACCAGAAAATTAGAAAGTTATGTTGAAAGACAAAAGTGTTGCATGTATGATATTAGTGACTGCGTAAATAAAGGATGACAGCATTTACACTGTAAATAAAGGAAGACCTTAATTATTACCACCCTGTTTACTCATATCTTTTCCTTTTTCAGATCATGCTAGAAAAATAATTTATCTATTAATCTTTTTAGGACCGCGATTATATACATGAGTAATATCAAGCGCATATCTTCCTACAATATTATATATTGAACAAACCTTTATATATATAGAAAAAAAACACTTTTTCAAAAAGGGAGAGATATTTTCTTTTGTCCATTACTCGTTCATTCATTCGATAATTTCTCATCCCGTTTAATTGTTGGTATAAGCACAGAAGTTATGAATTCGGATATTTAAAAGAGCAGGTGCTAAACAGTTTAAAAAACTTTAAAAATACCCACTCTACCCCACCAAAAAATGGTTTTTAAAATCAATCAAATTAGTTAATATGCATTAACTTAAAGGGATTTTGTTTCATAAATTTATCTCAATCCCAAAAATTTTTATCATAAGATTACTCGATAAAAATGACCGTATAAAGGGCTAAAATGATGGCTTCATTTAAAAAACATAAATGTTTTTGTTAATATTATATAATTAAGTATAACAAGCTGCAACAGGTTAGAATTGCATGTGTCGAATTGGAAATGGTATAAGTTAACGACATATGGATTGTGGGTATCATTTTATACGGATATGTTTAGTTTTTATTCTTTTATATTTTATTGCTTTATTTAAAAAACATTTTGTCTGAAATTTTTGTGGTAATGTTGAAATATTTTTACGATTTTTTTGCATAACAGGATCATTTTGGAATCTATATAAGTTATTGCTAAGTTTGCAAATAATAAATTCTTAAAATTATTTATATTGCATATAATCCAATCATCTTCTTAAATTACACAAAATTTGTTTGCTTTATATAATAATTAGTTGATACGATAAGCAATCAACACACATATAAATTTTTGAGATTGGCAACTGTGCCTTCCTAGGAAATAAATTATTTTCCAACAAGCTTTGTCGAAGATTAATATTTTCAATAAAGAGATTTTAAATCAAATTATATAGTTTCATAAATAAAATTCTAGAATATTAATAAATGACGTGGATGAAAAAATTAACACGAATAAAGTGTTTATTTAAAATTCAGAAATAATTTTGATTTCTTACCAGTAAAAATTAGCACGAATAAAAATCTCCAAAACAGCATTGTTCTTCTTTATTTTTACGTTAGCTTTGTAAAAACTGATTCTAATACAACACCTTGAGTTTTATATAACAAAAAATTCCTGATTTGTTTCAGTTTTCACAATAGAAAATTAATTGAACAAGGAAGATAAGCAACAATAGTTTTATTGTAGGAAGGAAAAGTCTTTGTATCTGGTAGATTTCCGCTAAGAAATTAGTAAACATGATATTTGCTGTTCTACAATATTTGTACAGAAAAAGCTGAATTCATAAAAGGGGAATTCATGACCTTAACATTTTAAAATGACCCAGGTTTTTTTCCTAATATTTGATATGTGGTTCCTAGAGTATTTTAAAGTATACAAAAAAACATGGTTAAAATGGCCTTAAAATTTCAGAAAAACTGATTCAATGTTAAAAGATAATATCTGTAACTTGAACCAAAAATCGATTTTTGGTTATTTTATCTACCAAACTTTCTATGAAGATTTCATGCTCAATCCAGTTGTAGTCAGCACAGTTTGCTATAGCCGTCTTGAAGATTGTCAGCAAAACATTAGGCTCACCAAATATTTAGTTTATTTAGAACCTTTTTAAACTCAGCTATGAATTTGAAATCAATTTTTGGTTATTTTATGCATCGAGGCATTTGATGATGACGCGGAAGCTTTTCAACATGGAAGTGGACTAACTAAACTTTTATCTAGTGTATAAAATATCGTTGGAGTATGAATTTGAAGCGGAAATTGGCCTTTTTAGACTAAGTTTTAGTGCAACACTCCACCCGTGATTAGAGGGAGCATCCGTTTTCGAAAAACGAGACAAGCACCACTGACTGCTGAACAGATTTTAATCACGTGACTGGGTGACCCTTCTTTCGACTGGGGTAAGATTTTACATGGAGTTCAGTGGTGTTTAGTTAAAAGCCAGGCTGAAATATGGTTAAATATTAATGTACCTCCAACTGCAAAGAAAAATTCATTAAAGGAGGACCTGTAACGTTTCACATGTAAAGTTTATTTATATTTATTGTATTTATACTTTTAGTTAAGAAGTATTTTATAGATTTTTTCTTTCATTTGGTGCAAGTTTGGAGATATTCAAAAGTTTCTCTACGTACCAAAAGGGGAAGAATTATTTTTTTTGGGGGACAGAATGAAATCTTCGGACAGTTTAGATCAATCTCGAGGGGTAAATAATCAACGTATAGTTTAGAATTTTACGACGAATAGTTCGAAAACTAAAATAAATTTTTTTTGTAGTAAAATATTTAACGTAACTAAATATAAATATTTGATATTTTTTTAAAACTTTAATTCAAATTTATTAATTTATATTTTTAATGAATTTTTTATTTCGATATATGCGTAAAAGTTTAAGTTGACACAGTGAAGCCGGAATTTTAGAATATGTAAAATTTGCTTTCCGACACAAATTACACATATGTTTCACGTATTTAAATAATAATATAGTAAATTTTTGCTGCGTGAAAAAATAATAAAAAATGACATTTGTTTTGCATATTAAAAGCAAATATATGTATACCTACCATGGAATCTACATTTTCATCCTTTAGAGAAGGTCATCTTTATGTCATTTAAAAAATAGTAAAAATTTTCTAATAAAAATTACCTATAATTTAAAGGCCGAGGATAAATTAATTTGAAAAATTTTTTTTCGACAACAACAGATTAAACACTATATAAGTATTGAGACCTTTGAAAAGTCTTGAATTTTCTTTTAAATTAAAAATGGAAGGTAATTTATATTTTCACTTCGTATTTTTTATTTTATATACTATTTCTAATTTTATTTAATTTAATATTTCATATTTTTAGTAGAACTTTTGCATACCATTTTGAAAGAATTTTAATTTTTTAATGACTTAAATATTTTCGGTCTTTTTTTTTCTTCTCAAATATAATTTAATCTAGATTTATCTTTTTTACAACATACATACATTACATTAATTCAAAATATTATTTTCAGTTATTTATTCAAAAGTTTGGATTATTGATGCAAATGTGTGTGTTTTTCAGTCTCAAAAGTGTTTGTAAATTTTTTTAATGATAAATTAAAGAAAAAATTGATTAAAATTGAAAACATCATATATTAAATATTTTTAGTAAGCAATTCAAAAAAAAAATTAGGACTTTTGCTTTATTTATTTAATTTATGTTATCTTTCTAGAAACTTAAAAAAAATAATAAGAGTTATCTAGTGCAGAATAAGTGTGTGATATTTTGAAATGTTTATCATGTGTAAAAAGTTTCATGTGGTTAAAAATGAAATAATTTATCCATGTTATTTACATGAGTGCAGCTTTCTATTGTTTTTTTTTATTTAACTTCATTTCTAACCGAGAAGCCAATTTTTTTGCTCTCTTTATCACAAATGTAAATAAATTATATTGGAAATGGTTCTCCTTTTTTAGTAAACCTGTTTAACGTTTTTTCTTTATTTTGTTACAGAAATACAATACTTAACAATTAATAGGGGAAAACAGTTTTCTGTTTTTTCTCTTAAAGAAGTATGCTCGTAGATATATGAAGGGAAGTAAAGCGAAAAATCAAACGAGATTGCGATTTTGTCACCAATAACGCAATTTCACAGTCGCTCGCCAAATGCGGCAACTTTTCCAAACCTGTCACGTGTTATATGTATGACCCCACTTCGTTCACCAGAATGAATTAAAAAGCTATCTCTAACTCCCTTATACCAACCTCTATGGAAATTGTAGACAAATTCACGCAATCCAACCACCAACAAAAGTTAAAATCTTCACAAATAAACATGTAAGAAACCAAAATCCCGATGCAGTCGAAATCTCAACTAATATCGAAACTTAGAATTGGAACTTTATCAAAATACATCGATTGCTTTGAGAATTATTACTTTATTGTTTTTTCATTTTTCAAGACCAGGCTGTTTAGTGGTCAAGGAGCTGACCTCAAGGTCCTGGATTCAATTCTTGTATAAGGCATGTATAAGGATGCCTTAAGTAATTCAATTCTTGTATAAGGATGTTCTTTTTCCTTCTCTTCTTTGTACTAGCTGTCCATCTTACTGTGGGATCAATTTTGGCATAGTTAATATGATGCCCCTGAGGGAATGGTCAAGAAATATGCCCTTCTCATACCCGAGTGACTATCCAGTTAATATCCAGGTGGGCATAGGGGGTAAAAAGTTTTTTTATTTTTAGTTGTATTTACACTGAAGTACGAATGCGATTAAATGATGCAGTACAATAAAAATTTTACCATTTATCTGAGATTGTATTATGATGCAATTAATGCATCACTGCTACTAGGATGCTATTATTATGATGCAGATTCATCGCAATCGTATATTTTCTCATAAAATATAACTTTTCAAAAAAAGGTTATTAGTGTTTTTTTTAACTGATTTAGGATAAATTTCACTTCGATATAATATCAAAATATGAAATATGTAATGAAATATTGCATCTACTGAATGAAATTTCCATCTAAAAATACTAAGCAAATTCTTTAGCAATATATTATTTTTAGTTAAAGATTGCATAAGAAAATTAGTTTTTATCTAATTTGTTGAAAATGCTTGTTTTAAAACGAACTTAGAAAAGAAAGTTCGCCGTCATAATACATTCATAAAACCAAGATTTTCAAAATATGATATAAGCGACGATTTGAATATTCTATGACATAGGTCGAAAATTGCATAATTAATCATTAAATTTATTAATTAAAGTGTATCTCTTTGATTATTAAGATTTCAACTTTGTTCATGAAAGCCTGATTACGAGATAAAAATTTATAGATGATGATTTTTTTTAGCAACATCAACGCCTCCTTCGACAGAAAAATTTTATTTGGTTTTTTCTTAATTAGCATATTTAAGTCATAATTCTACAGTTATTAAGACTTCAACTAATTTTAACCATGTTTTTTTGCATATTTTAAAATACTCTAGCAACCACGTATCAAATATTAGAAAAAAGAAACCTGGGTCATTTTAAAATGTTAAGGTCATGAATTCACCTTTTATGAATTCAGCTTTTCCTGTATAAATATTATAGAGCAGCAAATATCATGTTTACTAATTTTTTAGCGGAAATCTATCAGATACAAAGACTTTTTCTTCCTGCAATAAAGCTATTGTTGCTTATCTTCCTTGTTCAATAAATTTTTTATTGTGAAAGTTGAAACAAATCACGAATTTTTTGTTATATAAAACTCAAGTTGTTCGATTAGAATTAGCTTTTACAAAGCTAACTTAAGGATAAAGAAGAATAATGCTGTTTTGGAGATTTTTATTCGTGCTAATTTTAACTGGTAAGAATTGGTAATCCGATCACGATATCAAAAATTATTATCGATGATTAATTTCAACAGTATTTCTTTTTCTAAGAACTTTTGTTTAACAATATAATTTGCAACACTTTTAGAGTTAACACCACCTTTAACTGAAATCAGTTTTTTTTAAACTAGTGACTTTGCACAGATAAGGTGCTACTTTCGAACTATTAGATTGCAACTTTGTAAATGAAAATCTGACAATTAAAGCAAAAGTTATTTAGGTCAATAACTTTTACAACGTTTACCTTTAGAAGATCATTCGTTTATTATTCTTATAGTTTAAGTGTTACACTTTTGGTATTAACAATATTTTCAACTTTTAATAATGTTTATTACTAATTAATCATAATATTTAAGGTACTCCTCACAAACGTTTAATATTGCTACTTGAAGATACTTTGATTATTACTCATTAGATCATAAGTTATTAAAAATGGTATATATTTGGAATATTTCTCTTTCTAAGAGATTTCATTTAAGATAGCGTTGATTTTTGCTGTTTCACACAAATAAAATAATACGACAAATTTCTGTTAATATAAATTATTGAAATTAAATTTCTAACATTGTAATATTTACGTCTACTTATTTAATTTTCTTCCTAAAAATACAAATCAAATTCTCTAGAAATATAGTATTTATAGTCAAATAACACATAAAAAAATTGGTTTCTATCTAATCTGTTGAAAAAGTCCTGTTTTCCT